TCCCATGTATATATTGGTGTATTTTGTTTCATTATTTTGTCTTCAATGTCATATGTTGCGTATAATGGTGTTAGGAGAAAATAAGTGTTGAAAGAGGGTTTATTTTTAATTTGCCAATCTGACTTAAGAAAATATCACCAAAATTTGGACTTTGAGCCAGGAAGATTTTGATTTTAAAATTGTGGTTTTCATCTCTTATAACAACATTTTTGCAAATTTGGTAATATCACCAGCTCATATCTTGTGGGATGCCTTTGCAGAACTCATACTTAGTCGTTTCTGGTAAAGGTCTATCCCAAGTAGAGGTACAATTTCTCATCAACTAAAGAAGTTTCTAAAGCAGAAAATGGGGGAAAAAACATAATCCCTTGTAATGTTCTTTCTCTGTCGCTCAAAACTGCAAGTTGCGCAAGCTGTTTTTTATCATTGTGCTAATAAAATCTGCTCAATAAAAACATGTTGTACCTACATATCTCTGAATCTTGATTAGATCCAGGGCTAGAATGAACAACTGTCTTTTGAGGATAATTAAAAAAATTGAAGGGAAATTCACAACTGATTTAAAGTTGACACAAGCTGGATTACATAAAAACAGAGTGCTTTTTTGCAATGGATGGAAAAGAGATACCAACGGCACTCAATAGGTTAGTTTTTCAAAAGGCTTGGATACCCTTTTCAAAGATGGACAAAAATTAATCACCTTTTAAGATGCGTGGATGGGACACTGGTATTATTCTACAAATTTCCTAATGGCACAGGAACCCTAATGAAAGCATGTTAAATCCACAGACAACCAACACACATACACACAGACGTTCATTTATGTTCAAAGAATTCAGAAAATGATGGGCATAGTTTCATAAATAGCTATATTATGGGGAAAGAAAACAGAAATGGCAGAGGTTTTTATAATTGATGTTGCCGTGAACCCTTCATGAGCCTATAGAAGTACTTGGAGTCTTGGGATGGAATACTTCTAGCAAGGCATGTCAACTAGCTCTGCCTGCCTGCGCAAAACTTATCAACAAAAATGGTCTTCAAGTAGCATTGTTTTCAATGATTATTTATTAAAAGTGTAAATTAATTAAAAGACGAACACAAATACATGGAATAATGCATGTAATGTCAAATGCAGTCACTTTATCATCCGTATAGTTAATTAGATCAAGATATTTGGGGGAGAAAATACACTAGGAACTTTGCATGGTGCATCATCATTATTATGAATGGAAATGCAGCAAAAGATGAAAATAAAGGTTCAATGGTGATAATATTAAAGAGTTGAGCAAGTACATGTACAGGTAATTACAAAACATTTACATGTACAAGTGACCACTGAAAATAGTGATCCTTATTGACGAGTGCATCCATAAAATATTCAATGCTTTGAATAGAAATTATCAATGATTTACAGCACAAAGGTACATGTAAAACAACTTTTTATAAAGGTTCAAACTTTAATGATATCGATATCTGTAATAAGTCATCTTCATCAAAATTAATGATATGCAATGAACAAAAACCATAAACATGTGAAGAGTACAATCTAATAAGTACATGAGAGTTTACGCAATGATTTGGCTACATCTCACGAAACAAAAGTTCAGTATGCAAACATCCTGGAAAATTATTGCATAGCGTAAAATTTCATTACATAATTACACACCCACCCCCTTCCCTCAATGAGTTTCAAAACAAAATAAAACATCACATTTTCAATGAGCAATCTGTAAGTTATGTAGTAGAATACCATTTTACTTTCTGCTATTATCAAGTTCGAATTCATGATATTATTTTGGGAATGGTTGTGCATACACGTACATTGATGTTAATCTTGAAATAAAAATGTGCATGTTGCAATTTTTGTTTTAAACCAAACAAACAAGAAGTAGCCTCATAAATACATTATTTGCAGGTCATCATATTTTCTGAAAGATTGCATTTATGAACAGCTTTTTAAGTCATCCTGCCATTGAAATTATCTTTACTGTCAATGAACAAAGTCCATAAGAAAGGGGGGGGGGGGGAATGAGAACAAGGTTTGAAACTTGAACATAACATCGCCTACAAATAAATTTCTCATTTTATTGTCAACAAGTTTTCATGAAAAAATCAATGTAAAAATAATCATGTATTGAATCAAACTTCTTCCACAATTACTTTGTTCATGAATCATTCTAATGTAAGCCAAATTGAATGAAGATCTCAGAAATGTAGTGCCAACAGAATAAGTTGAAAAAAGATGGCATACATTTGTACATGTACACATGCATAAATATATGAATCGTGTACATGTTCATTTCATGTCAACCATTAACATTGCTATGAAGCTAACAAAATATGCATGAAATTAATTCTTCACTCACATCCCATCTATTTTTTTATATTAATAGCTTATTACAACAATTGGTTTATTAATTTCCTTTAGCTTATAGTTTAATTGTATTATTAGTGTTAATTTCAATCTAATTATTAGGGGCAGGAATTATCACATGCCAAAATGAAATACCATGAAGAAAGAAAGCATCTTTGATCAATTAAATATTTAAAGACCTTTCCTTACAACTGCTTGTGTCTCAAGAGGTTTCTACATCAAAATCTTCTATTCTCATCTAGTTTCTTTCATCACTAATTACATAATTACATGACAAGTAGTAATTTCATGCTGCATAATGAAAATATACGATGTCAACATACTCCATTTATTTCATGCCATGATGTACTGGCATTTAGGATTGATTACAAACAAATGAGGTGTGCGAGATAAAGAGAAAAGTTAAGATTAAACACAAGATAAAGGTACATAATGTTTAGTATATGGTGCATCATGATCAACAGTTAAATAACGATGTCGTTCAGGTTCCAATCGCATTGTGCTTCTTCAAACATTCTCCATTTACGCACTGCTCATTGCTTCACGGGCGTTCATTCCTTTTATAAATTTATTTTCTTAGAATTCTCCTCGTTGATCCACGGCTTAGAACATGCGATATCCACAGGACAAAGAAGTTCTGCATCTGCTCTTTGTTACATAAATCGGTTTTCAGACGTTTAAATAATTCTATCATATATATACTTAATCAAAGTTCACAAGATTGCACAATAATACCATTTGAAGCATTCGATATGATCAAATTGTGCATACGAAAACTGCACACAGAATCAAGGATTCAGTGTGGCAAGAGAGGTAAACACAAGAAGGTAACATTACAATCAACAGTATTCAAAAAGTAAATCCCTTCAAAAGGAAAATATAGATATTTTTTACAATTCCAAGAACACCCCAGTTTTTTAAACCCTTTCTGAGGCTTTCACACCAACAATCATATGGAACACCTTTTTCTAATGTTTCAATATTATCAGTTTAGCGATAAGAAAACAAATTTCCACAAAGCAATTTGGCACTAAAATATAACCACAAAAAAATGACCCAACTCCTGGGCTGGCACAATCAAAATACTGCATTTTTTAATGATTTCATACAAATTACAATTTGAAAAAATTAACAAAGAAACGAAATGATTGAAAATGGCCCGTAGACGCACATAACAAAATTCAGAAATAACTTGGTTTACAAATTCATTGTGTTTATGTTAAAAATACTTGATTTTGTACTTTACATTTTCACATCTACATATGTATGTACATGTACATTGTTTGTTTATCACAATACTAGAGAAGTAAAATCTTAAATCTCACCCACCCTCTCCCTTTTCCTCCACAAAAAATTCAAGCAATAACAATCCCCCCCCCCCCCCATAACTTAACCCGTCTCTGAAGAAAATATGGCAAATGCTCCAAACAATACAAGTTGAATAGACTAACACACCATTTCATGACCAATGCACCCATTATCGATGACCATTACCGGTATACCAAAAGTAATATCAGGTTGAATGAAAACACAACACAAGTTTTGTATTTTATTGATTAATATTGGAGATCAATAAAATAAATGCTTATCACATATTGTATATTGAAAATGATCATGTTACAAGCTCAAATGAGAACAACGATCTGATGTGATGGTAACAGTGAAAGTTGTAGTTTAACCTTACAAAAGAAAATGACCTGAGGAATACCCATATTTACTAATAGTTTTCACTTAAAACAGTGATACATAGTGAAAATTCATAACTTGAATAGTTTTTATCACATATTTTTGCAAAATATTCACTTAGAACAGTGAAACTTTCATCCCAAACTTGATATAAGACAAGACTGGACTAGACTAGACTTGCTTAAAACAGCAAGAGGTTCAGTTAAATGATCAGGTGCATTTCATACACATGACACAAAACTACAAACAAACAACAAAATAATAATAATTGATAAATAAATAAAATACATGTCTTTTTTATTAATCTTTAAAAACTCCAGGAAAAATCATTAGTAATATATGAGGTCAATAAATGTCTCGTAGATGGGTTTTTCTTGATATAATCAGTATAAGCACTTTGGGCAGAATTACCACAAACATATCGGAAGCATAATGCATGCCAATGCCGCCCCCCCCCCCTCCCTAAAAAAGAGGGGGATGTCAGTTGGATGTTCTTACCAGTTTATTTGCCACATGCCAATAGCATCCACACTATTCCTAACATTTGCATTTCATATAAAAATGCAAGATATAATATGATAAAAATCTAATAATCCAAAAAGACATTTCCCAATTAAAAAATTTAAACACCCACTTATCTAACTATTGTGCGACAATGTTCATCTTCCAAATCAAGTACAAAAATATGACACCGTTATCATACACAAAAACCAACATGTTAAACATTTGGAATATATTTTGTAGAATTTCACATCCACTTCATATCAAAATTTATGACTCGTTCAAATATGAAGAAGAAAAAAAGAAAAGATAAGGGGACTTTGGCTAAACATGACATAATGTGCACCTCACCTGACCGAATGTTTTACATTCAATACTTGCAATTTCTTTAAAAGTGAAAATGGAAATGGGAAAGATACCACCAGGTCTGATTACGTACAGCTTTTGCAGATGTTCCTTCCATTTTGGTAGGCGCCCTGCATTGAAAGAGACAATATGGTAGAAATGGCGGCTTATTTATCAAATCATGGAAAGAAGCAATTGTTTCAAATTTGTCAACAAACAATAAAATTATAATCATCAAATGCTAGCCAAGGCCAAGAATTGCCAACCCTCCCCCCTTCTCTTTTCAAAATACACTTGAGTATTTTATCAGGCATGACTATACAGCAACTAAACAAGGAATCTATACACCAATCCATTTAGCTGATATAAATGTTCAAGCTTTTATCAACTAAAGAAGCATAATGAAAGCTTGGAATCTCACAAAATCACCCACATAAGTGTAAACAAATCATGAATGTTTTGTTCAATGCCACATGTTTGAAATTTGAAATGGTATAAACTTTAATGTACTTACGCGACCAGGTTTGCTCCAACTCCACCAAGTGGGACTCTGCGGACTTGTACTGATGCATTCTTGGGAATGAGATCACCCTCTCCCTTGTATTCTAGATAGCAGAAAATAACGAGAAAGAGAAAATATTGAGCAATATGAACAATGGAAGTGTTTCAGAAAATAATCCCTACCTTTAAAGGCCAAATTGTGAGTTCATGGGGGCTTACTATTGTATGACAATGATCCAAGTATTTGGCAAGAAGATAAGATAAAAATTACAGTAATATTAACTTGATGATACCTTGAAGAAATAAAGAACAGGATGTGCTTAAAGAGTGTGCCAAGTTTGAGGACAATCTGATTATCCACTCACAGAAATTTCTATAGAGTTTTAAATCTGCCTTTTGTCACCTTTTTCTATAGAGTTTTAAATCCCCCTTTTGTCACCTTGCACAAGACTTTGAGAGTCAGAGTGCATAAACAGACAACAGACTTCAAACACCCTTTTCTCTGCAGTAACATTGTGTGGGATGGACTCCTTCTTTAAAAAAAATTAAGTTAAGGACATCCAGTAAGCCAGTTGGTAAATACTATCTGCGCATGGGCAGATAAAGGTATGTAATTTCTTCCCAAATCCTAAAACCCATTGAGACAAATACTGATATCGTGCTCATGAAAGTTACGTAACCAGATCCATTTAAAATGCAGTTATCTGCAGGTGGACCGTGGAAGTATTCTCCTCAAGAGGCAAACAAATTCTTTTTCTTATAAACTGGACGTTGGTGTACATTTGAAATTATTATACAGAGTGAAGATTTGCAAAGACACTGGTACAAGAGCATAACTTTGAATTGAAAAATACTCCACAAATATCCCCAATATAAAAGAACAAATACCCGAATAATGATGGAATGACATGGGCTCTGCAGTAATGCTAAATGTAACTTTCAGACTCTATTGTGAAGTTTTCATAATTGTATAATATTCATTGCTGCTCCATTAATATAAGTGCTGTAACATCACGGATATCTCCAATTCCGTTTAACCGCCAGTCAAAACCGGACGGTTTTTGGTTAAACAATTTAAACAAAATATATTTTTAAAAAAATAAAAACACATATTTTTTTTTTTTTAAATTTAAACAAAAAACAAAAAAAAACGGGAAAACGAAACCGTCCAATTGAAAACGGAATCTGCCATGGGCGGTCGGATACCGGACGGGTAAATGTTTGACTACAGCACTAATTAATATGAAACCTACCTTCCGAAGATTGTGCATTAGTCACTTGAAGGTCAAACTCCACTCTGCCAATTTTCTTTTGTTCCATGATTGCCTTTTTAAGATCACCCAAGGAAATATGGAGGCCATCGAAGGTCACTGTGTCGTAGTCAATGCTACTCTTAAACTTGTAGTGCACAGAGGACATGCTTGCTCCTGTAGTCTCCACACGACAGCTGTAAATGTTCCAGATCTGCTCACTTCCCGATGAGGTCCTAAATGAACATGAAACAGAAGAAGAAAACCAAATGAGCTAAAGGTAATTGATTTGATAAAAATAAAACACAGATTAAGCAGCAAGAGCAATACATACCAGTAATGCACTTGTTTAAACTCTTTAAAGCTCATTTAAAAGCTTTTTGAAATGATGTACAATAGTTAAAGGATTCACCTGAAGAATCAAAAGTATTTTGAATTGATCCAAATTTTTATTATTGCCAAGGGGAAGCCTCACTGATCAAATATAACAGCTCCCTCTTCAAAACATGGTCGAAGCCCGCAGTAATTATCTCTCAAAAACATTAATTTCGAGATCCATATTTTCTACCTTTAGCGGTCGAACGACAACGCTAGCTGCACCACAAAGTAGCTAGCTGCTACACACATGCGCATATTATATTGCATGGTAAATACACAAGACTAGACTTTTTGTAAACTGTCAAAGCAGACTCTTGAGATCAAAAATTACGGCTGTAGGCGAGGAAATCAAGCTATTAAACGGGCATGATTTATAAGTAGATATCTTTTTTACCTGTTTCGTTTCAATTTCCTTTTTAGAGCATTTTTTCTTAAAGACCAAAACATTATCATACAATTTTTCACAGGTTTCATGGCAAACCACTGCTCAATACAAGTGCATACCGTTGTGGGGTGCGCGTGCCTGAAGTTAGCGACTGTAATCTCAGATCCTCATTAAATTCATCCAAGTAATTCACATTATTATGAATTTATGATGATCATATTGTAGCCATTTCAATATAGTTTGGTGAATAGAGGTATGAAATTTAAACTGAAGATTGCGATTATTCTGGCCATGTACTACGTGTACAGTTACGTGTACTTTTCAAAGTTAGTTAAGTTTTCGCAAGAAAATCAGAGTTGGTTAAAAATATATAGTACATAGAGTAGACAATTATTTGATACAGTTCTAGCATCTAATCAATGCACTAACACTTAGTTATTTAATTAGATATTAAATGCTTTCTTTTTTAATGAGTAAAAATGAAGCAGGAAGCCCGAAACCTTAATCAAAGTTATGAATAAGCCAGTAGGCCTACTAAATGAACTCAACAAACGGTTTCTTTTTATGAATTAATGAAAAAGTAGCCCTTAAAAAAAGTACACCTGAAAATGGAAAAAAGAGCACCCCAAAATTGGATAAGGAGCCCCTGAAATAATTTTTTTTTTCACTGCCACATGCTCTGCTATGATTGGAAACAAGCATCACATGGACGGCACATGCTATACACGCGACAGAGTTTTGCAAACATGTACATTTTGGAATGTGCTGGTAGCCAATAACAAAGGCTGCCCAGCCTGCTTAGAGAAACCGCGGTGTAATGTCACACCCAGATGGGCGCCAGCTGCCTGGTATGCATTAATCTTTGATAGGAATGTCTGTGTTTTTTAAATTTTTATTTCTACAACATGACAATGTATGCTTTGGAACTGAGAATGAGTGAAAGAGATAGTGAAAAAAAAGAGATGTTAATGAATATTAGGGAGGGATCGAGAGACAAAATGAAAGAAAAGAAAAAATATGAAAACTACATTACACACACTGTAAGTAAATAATTCTGTTATTTCTGTACTGAAAGAAGATCCAATTGTCTAAAGGTGAGATTTGAGGGGGGGGGGGGGGGGAATGGGTTTTAACAATTTCGGAAGATGAATAAATAGAAAAGAAAAAAGAAAATAGGAGTGAAGGAAGAATGATGATGAAGATAGTTCAAGATACCTTTTTTTTCATTTTCATCTCTAAAGTTAAAGACTATCAACATTTCACCCACTTATCTTTTTTTAATTTTTTTTTAATGTTGTCTAAAACTTTTTGTAAAAGAAATTTAAATAATTAAGGCAAAGAGACAGAGGACAGGAGAAAAATAAGAAAGAGGATGGATGCCAATAACTTCTTTTTGTTATTGTCTACTCTTTGTATTATGACCGTATTCCTTTATCTTTGTTGTGTAAAGCGTTGTCTTGTCCCTTTCTCTCCTATGTTGGCATCCCCCTTTTTCTTTTCCATAATTTGTAGTTCCTTTTGTAGTTACAGATTAGTTAATTTAATTACTCATTATTTCTAAGTATCATTTGAGGTGTTCACACTTGTACAAGCATTACTTTTTAGTGAACCCCTCTGTTTCCAACATGAATTTCTTACATTTGTTTTAAATGCTTATAATTATTGATTTGTAATGTTTTGTTGGAAACATGAATTAATTGAAATTGAATTGAAATTGAATAACTATCTTCAGAAAATAAACGTTTAACCAACAATTAGACGACCGCATTCATCAAAACCATTTAGCATTTCTCGCTCCTATTAACCGTTATTTTCGTGCAGTTTGTTACATGTGTTTTGTTTTTGTTTTTGAGACTTCATTGCCGATACGGAACTCCTAAATTAATAATTATTGACAAGACTTCATTGTCGATATGGACAACGAAGTCTTGCCAATAATCATTGTTTTTAGATCTCCGTCAAGGCAACAACAAAAAAATAACAAGAAAATTAGCATGAAACAGGTAATAAACATAAAGACTTTTAACTCATGACTTCATTTGGGTATGTTACTTTTAGTAGGGCGTCTCCATGCCGGGAGTTACGGGTCAAATTGTGGATAGGTTTCTGAACAAGCGCCAAACATCCGAGCCGCCATCTTGGAATTTAATGTATCGGTAGGCATGCATTATTTGTCCATTATCATCTATTCTTAGACTAATATTATCAATTTCGAAGTCATGACAACAACTCTTGCCTGATCTAGAGTAGGGTCTCCGGTTTGCGGCATCGCCCGGTTTGCGGCCAGGGGTATTTGTTTTAAAAATAAAATGAATATGACTCGATAATAATCATTGAAACCTACCGTGGATTCCACGGTAAGTTCTGCTTTGCCGAAAACATCCGTAGCAGGTGCTCCTGTCGGTACGGAGTATCCGTCAGCGATGTCGGAAATCTACGGCACCAGTCGCCGATGAAAATTCCAGCAGGTGCTAACTTTTAAGTTAAGAGATCGAGGCATGACTAGATCAATATTGTAGCTCTATTTGTCCGATATTTGTCCGATTGGAGGTGAAATTTGATGTTTTTGTGAAAGTATGATGGCTGTGGTCTGTCTCCTATCGCAGATATTTTGATTGTGCCACCGCATGGCCAGTTGCATGGGGTGGCCGCAAACCGGCACGTAATTACGTGTTTTTTCTGGTTTGCGGCGGGGGGTGTTAATACACACATAACATGCGGGATCGTGTATGATGGTATGTGTGCTGATGTGTGTACCCGCTATGACCCGATAGTTTCTAGTAGTACTTACCCCCGGATGGGATGATCCATTCGAGGAAAAGGTGAAATTGTTTAAAACTTGACAAATTTACCGTAGCAACAGATAAACATGAGAATTTGGGTTACCCGTAGTAATTTGGTACATGCTTTCATCGTGACGTAGCGCATAAAGCTTTGTGACGTACGCGTGCCGCAAACCGGTAATGCGTGCCCGCAAACCGGGGAACTCGAAGCATTTCGAAACGTGGTCAATGCTGACCACGCTGTGGGTCAGTTAGGTTATTTGTGACTTCTATTTAATAAGTAAGTATATGGACTCTTTATTGAGGGTATTGAAGTATTCTGTGAGTATTCCAATAAAAATAGAATCGGTAGTTCCCGCCGATCGGCCGCAGACCGGAGCCACTACTCTATGCCTGCTTTTTAGCATTTGATAGCCCAAAACTTGGAACACTTTTGGCATTCATTTTTTTTCTCTTTTAATCTGATTTTTTTTTTTTTTTACAAAAAAAAGCCCCAACTTACAGGCAGACACTTACTTTACTTTACTTTACTTTACTTTAATCCATCGATGTTGGTAGGACAGAGCCTGTTCATCGATCGATTGAATTCCTTTGCATCAATACTTCTGTTTGTTGTGGTTTCGTGTCGAGGTGTGTGTGTGGAGGGTGGAATAGTTCTGCATTCTTCTATTTACTTTCAAAGTCATATACTGAAGGTGAATTCTTCCAATAGTTATCGAGTTTGTTTTTGAAGGCATTTACAGATGGGGCATTAACCACTTCTTCAGATAGGCTATTCCATGTGTCCACTACTCTATTCGAGAAAAAGAATTTCCTGATGTCCAGATGTGAAAATGTCTTCTCTAGTTTCAGAGTATGGCCTCGTGTTCTGTTTTCCTTGCATAAGTGTAGTAGGTTTGTCTGAGTGGTGTATAAGCCATGGAGGTACTTGTAAACATCAATCATATCTCCTCTCTTTCTGCGATGGGCAAGAGACGGTAGCTTCAGGTATCTCAGACGTGTTTCGTATGGAAGATTTTTCAGTCTAGGTACCATCTTTGTAGCTCTTCGTTGGACACTTTCAAGTCTCTTTTGTTCACCTATCCTGTATGGTGACCATGCAGCTTGTCCGTACTCCAAGACAGACCTTACAAGGCCTATGTACAAGAGTTTGAAAGTGTCCGTGTCCATGTTTGCGAATGATCTTCGTATCACCCCCAGTAGCCTGTTAGACCTGGATATAACATGGGAGATGTGGTCTTTGAAGGTCAGCTTAGAATCAACAAGCACACCAAGATCCCTTTCCACTTTAGATTCTTTCAGGATTGTAGTTTCATTGCCATTCTTCATGCGATAATCATAGCTTGAGGGGGACCTGCCTATTTTCAACACAGTACACTTCTCTGGGTGAAATCTAAGCTGCCATGTATCTGACCATTCCTGCATCTTTATCAGATCATCCTGCAATTTCTGGGAATCTTCGTCGGTGTCACATCTGGCATACAGTTTCGTGTCGTCTGCAAAAAGCTTAATTCTGGACTCTATGAAATCAGGAAGATCGTTTATGTAGATCAGGAATAACAGCGGCCCGAGTACACTCCCTTGCGGAATTCCACTCTGCACTGATGACCATTCCGACCGTTGACCCTTCACTACTACACGCTGTCTCCTTCCGACTAAGAATGCTTTGATCCATCCCAGTGTCTCATCCTGGATGCCAAAGGCTTCAACTTTCTGCAGCAATCGATAATGGGGTACTGAATCAAAAGCTTTCATAAAGTCCATGTAAACTGCATCAATGTTACCTCCCTCTTCTAAGATATGTGTCCAGTCATTGAGTACTTCCAACAGATGGGTGGTACAGGAACGACCAGCAACGAAGCCATGTTGGTGTGCAGACAACATCTCATTTGTTGATAGGTGTTTGATGATGTGCTTTCTCACCATGCACTCAAATATCTTGCACACAACGCATGTGAGACTCACTGGTCTATAGTTCCTGCTTTCTTGCTTGTTTCCTTTTTTGAAAATGGGTGTAACATTAGCTGATTTCCAGTCCAAGGGTAATTCTCCCTTTTCTAAGCTCAATTTGAACAAGAGTGAAAGTGGCACATCAAGAACGCCTGCCAACCTTTGCAGTAAACGTGGATGCAATCCATCAGGTCCTTGAGACTTATTTGGTTTCAGATTCCTTAGCAACTCGAACACGTCTGATGGTACGACAGCAAAGCTTGTTAATGCTGATTCAAAGTCAATTTCAGGAGGAGTCGGCATATTCTGCAAGTCTTCGCGGGTGAACACACTAATAAAGAAGTCTTGCAGTACTTGGGCTTTTTCTATGTCTGTTTCAGTAGTGGTTCCATCCGACTTAATAAGACTGCCGATACTTTCTCGAGCGGTTGTTTTAGACTTAACGTATGACCAGAAGGCTTTGGGATTTTCCTTGACTCCAGATGCTATATCTTTCTCCAATCTTTGCACTGCCTAAAAAATAAGAACCCATTCTTATTTTCGATCCGTGCGTTGGCGATGCTCCTTTGATGCATTTCACATTGACTTTGCACAGAGACTTCCACGTTTTGAACGAAATCCTCAGGAAAACGGACAACCCATAAAAAATCCATTTCTTTAAGAAATTAAAAAAAATATTTAAAAAATGAATTTCTCGATTCTCTCCCTCAAAAAAAAAGCCTGCACTGCAGTCTTGCACCCCAGTATTTTTCAAAAAGTTCAGTTCCAGGAACAATTGCAGAATACCCTACCACGGTTTTACAGAATTAGATCTAGAACTAGTCTATAACAGTCTGACAAATATTAGAAATATAGTCTAGAACTAGAGTCTAGGTCTAGAAGCCAAATTCCAACGACCATCGACTAACAGTCTGACAAATATATTAGAAATTGAGACCAACGACCATCGACCAAATACTATTGAATGAAAGAGTCCAACGACCATCGACCAACAGTCTGACAAATATTAGAAAAAGAGACCAACGACCATCGACCAAATAGTGAGGCATATTTGTTTAAAAGAGCCAACGACCAACGACCATCGACCAAGGACTCCCAAATATTAAAAAAGAAGCCAACGACCAACGACCATCGACCAAGGACTCCCAAATATTAAAAATGAGGCCAACGACCAACGACCATCGACCACCCACCAATACTAGTCTAGTCTAAGCACAACGCTAATTTTTTCTTTTGTATTTCATTCCACTATTATAAGCACAAAACTATTATTGTTTTCTTTTGTATTTTTAGAACGAGACATCACTTGTTGATTAAAAAAGCACAACACCATTATTTTTCTTTTGTATTTTTAGAACGAGACATTACTTGTTGATTAAAATATCTAATAGGGTCTTAGAAAGCAGACTAGCAGTGTAAGAGAGGGCACAAGGTACAAACAAATACGTGTGTGGGACTATGTACGGGCTGGACATTTTGTGTTACTGAAATGTGCTTAGAATTCAAGTAATTCATCTATTAAATGACTATAACAGACAATAAACAAGACAAAGGTAAGGACAAGAATCAGTGCTTATCAATATAACAGACATTTTGCATGAAATACCATCAGGAAAGCCATCTAAATTTGTCACAAATTAGCGACAAACACACCTAATTCAGCGCTGCAATGACGCACAAAACCGCGTAAAATTCAACTTTTCATCCACCAAATGAATTCAAACACTTGCATTATACAATCTTCAATACCTGTATCACCGTTATCACAAATAATAAAATCACAATCTATATCTACGGCTAATAATATGAAGACTAACGATATGGTAGGGTATTCTGCAATTAAGCCCAGTTCCACACTGAATTATGATTGATTTTTTCACTAATTTCAAGTGTCCCAAATTTAGCAGCAACTCAACTAGATTTCAAATTGTCATTGACACATTCACATTAGAAATCTACTAGAATCATGAGAATCTACTTTCACAAAGAACAGAGCCGTTCCCAGTCGATACAACACGTGACGTCACAAATCGAGAATAACAGTTTTCATTCTTCCGTATTCATTAGTCAAGCCAGCAATCACATTCTACACTCTCTCTATCATATCATTATCATAACATGATACCAACACCATATGATGCCATGATTGTTAAACCAGAATATAAAGTAAACTGAGGTAAACTTACAAGTTGAAATGATGTAGTAAGACTGAAGAACACGACGAAAAATATGTATCAAACCGGCAAGCTGCTCGCTGGACAGGTTCCCTATTGTAGCGTATGGCCAATTAACTTCCTACATACAAGCTGCAAGTTGTGTGCAGGCCGAGGCCCCTGCCAGTAGAAATAGAATGTCCAACAAACGACTCCAGTTTTTGCCACTAGAACTGCAAATAAATACTCCTTTTAATAGCAAATCTTCGTGCGTAAAATCCTTTTATTGAAAATCAGCGTCGATCAGCAAACGATGAGACAACCTTTTCTGTTAAAAGAGTTGTTTTCGTTGCTTTTCAGCAAGATGGCCGATGTCGTATTGCCATTTCGAATTGCAATCACGCACTGAATAAAAATAACGGGTTTCCCAAGATGCGCAGCGGATATAATATGCATACAATACACGTATCGGTACGTATCGTACACGATTTGCATAGCAGAGTACTGTATAAATACAGCCATGACGTCATCATATACCCATTGCACTGTTACACCATGGACCTACTACAAATTACCCATTTAGATATGCCATGGATATTTCTAGAATAGAAAATGTATATTTTCAATTTTTTTAGAGCAAGACATTTCTACGAAATAGTTTGGTATCATTTAAAGAGAAACCTGCGACGCATAAACCATGAGAAAAATTCCACATAAATGAGTTAGGTAAGTTTTGTGAAATTGTTCAACACCAACTCGATATCTAAGCCAAATTTAGAACACATTCATTATTCATTTGGAACAAATACGAGTTGTTGTTTTTTTTTGGGGGGGGGGGAGGGGGGCACTGATGATTAAAACGGGGCAACTTTCTGCTGGAAAGTTTTTCCTAAAAGTAAATAAGGGTCATTTTCAACTCCGCCAATCATCATACATAACTCCTTAGCAAGTGACAAACCGGGGAGTCCGCGCCTTGACCCTCTTCTCTCTTTCTCTCACTCTCGGGGCCGGGGGGGGGGGGGGCACTTACAGTATTCTGACTATGAATTAATGCTTACCCCTACGACATTCTTGCTCCCGGGTTCTGGCTATGCTATGCACAAATTATTTATATTCATTTTAAAAGATCATTCGCCCCGCCCCCTTGTAACAAAGTTTTTATCAAGGTCGAGCGTGTCAAAGAAACCTCCTCGATATAGCTCTCAAGTGGGTAGTCCCTGCAGTAGACCGACAAAACAAAGAAATAAATCAGAAAATAAAAAAATGTAAGAAAGTTACCACATATATGTCCACAAAGCCGTTAAAAAACTGGAACATATAGCTTTTATTTTCAAGTAAACATTTCCATATATTATATTATATTCGAATATACGCAGTGAAAATAATTTACAAATCGCAAAAAATATTTTAGAACCTACTGTTTATTCCTATTTTCTTACTTATTATTTTCTGTTTCTTTTACATGATATTTCCATTTAGAACTGTGAGGCTTATTGTATAACAAGCATGGTAAATGCATAAGGAAAATCGAAAACTGGCTTTTACGTTCGTGGGTTCCTTGGCAAACCGCCCCTCGGGGAAATTGACGATTGCAGTTGTTCGACTGCATAGATTATCTCAGGCCCGGTTATTTGGTAAAATAGGCCAATTTGGGGATGTGCGACCCTAACGCATTACCTTGGGGGGGGGGGGGGGGGGGGGGGGGGGGGGGGGGGGGGGGGGGTAAACAAGTTGGGTTTAATTTTTTCATTAATCGGTGATTTAATTTCACTTCCATGTTATGGTGTGTCAAAGATTTTTGTTGTTGATAGTAATGTTGAAAGTGAATTTGTTCTACTTTGGCGCAGTTTTGTGCTATACTATATTATTTGTTTTGTTGTTAATTCAAGATTTTCTCCTCCTTTCATCTTTTCTTTCGTAATTCCTTTTCTTTATTTTTCTTCTATTTTTGTATGTTTATCCATTCTTTGAATTTGCTTGTTTTTCTTTGTTTTAACCTTCATTAAAATTTTCTTCCATCTTTTGTTATTCTACTCTATGACTCTCTTCTGTTATCATTTCTTATGTATTTATTTGTTTTTGTCTACTTTTTATCGCGGACGGCGGTCTGAACCTTACGACTGCTGATGGTTGACTTTTTGTTTTAATCATTTATTTTTTTCTCATTTTCCCTTAGTTTTCCTTTAATTTTCTCATTTAGGCCTTACCTTCCTTCCTTCATTCTTTTTGTATTTCTTCTGATATCTTTCTCGTTCATCTTTTCCCTTATATTTCCTTATGATATATAAACACTGTATTTTAATTTCATCTAATCTTCAATCAATTCCAAGTAGCCTATTTCTTTCTTTTAAATCAATATTTCATCTCTCTCTCTCTCTCTCTCTCTCTCTCTCTCTCTCTCTCTCTCTCTTCATGTTTACATAATTATGTGGACCTTTCTTTTGACTCTTCCATATTTTCTTTTTTTCACCTTTCTTTATGATAATCTTTATATTTCTCTTTTTTCTCTTGCCTTTTCAACTAGCATTTCAAACAAATACATATTTTTATTTTTCCACTACCCTTTTTTTATTTTTCCTTCTGTGTCTTTATGGCTTCTTCCATTGTGTGTGGAACATTTTTAAAACAAAATAATTTATTTTTAATATCATTCATCAGGCAAATTAGCCTTAATAATAAGGCTAATGAATTATATTAAGATATAAGACTAAAATTACCTAATAATTGATATCAAGAATAAATTATTAATATGCACGAGCGGTCGTCATGATCTTTCCTTACCCGCTATACTGCAGCCTAAACATTGTGGCAATTATCCAGTTCAGCTATCAACTGAAATAATGACTATTTTCGACAAATGCATGATTTTCTTCTCAACCAGATTGTCGCCTTCTTCCTGTCAATAATCCAAATATTCTCATGACCTTAAAGGTAATACAAACCTTAGGTATAAGTTCATGGCAGTGGCGGATTGAAGGTAAAACAAAGGGGGGTGAAGGGGGGAAAGAAAAAGGGAGAAAAGGAGAAAAAGGAGGGGAAAAGAAAGAAAAGGGAAGAGAGAAAGAAGAAGAAAAGAGGGAGGAGAGAAACGGGGAGAGGAGAACAGGAGGGGAAAGGAAGAAAGGGGAAGATATTTGAGAGAAAAGGCGGAAAGGGAAGAAAGGGGGAAAATGAGAATAATCAGAAGGAAAAAGAAAGAAAGGTGGATAATATTATAAGAAGGTGTTTTTTACCGGGAAAGGAGCGGGCGCAATTTTGCAGTGTGCATAATATGGGGCCCCTCTTGCCAGGCGTGTAGCCCCCCCCCCCCCCAAACCAAAAAAAAAAAAAAAAGCACAAGAAGAACAATAAAAAAAAAAGAGATGGAAAAAAAGGGGGGGGGGGGGAGAAAGAATTTGTGTGAGTTAAAGGAGAAAGGAAAAAAAGAAAGAGAATTAAACATGGATATAAGAGAGGTGCGAGAGCATGAAGAATTGCATTTCTTTTAAAAGGATAATAGGACTACAACCAGGGCGGCGATAAATGTCGGGATATTGTCGGTAAAATTGCGCTGCTGTCGGGGAAATTGAGAAAAGGGGGGAGGGGTGGGGAAATGAGAGGGAAAGAAAATAAAAAATAAAGGGAAAAGAAAGGAAACAGAAAAGAAGAAAGAAAGAGAAAACAGAAAAAGAGGAAGGAGAAGAAAGAAAAGAAAAAAAAAGAGAAAAAGGAAACAAAAGAAACGGGGGGGGGGGGGAGTAAAAGAGAGGAGAGAGAGGGGTAAGAGCCTGAGATACACTGTCGCTCATATAATTGGAATATTTTTGTTTTACCCCAATTTAGGGAATTATTTAAAAAATAATAGATCTAGATAATAGTATACATTCTCAGATTTTATTGAATAATAATTTGCCAATGTGTGTTTTGCGTGACTGCTAAAGCATGTGTATGCTACTATGCTTATCAACTAGGGGACCTACGCCCTTAAGTCATAAATAACAGTAATGAGGATTAATGCCCCACAAAAGGGTACTAAAACGCGGTTTTGATCCTGGGGCCTCACAGTTACGAGGCCATTGCTTTGTCACTGTACCATGACTGTACGCAGCGGGGGCTAGGGTAGGGGGCAGTTTCCATACATTTAAAAAAAGAAAAAAATGCAATGAATTTTCAATAATTTATTGCATTTTACCCCGGTCCCCAACATACAAAAATCCTCTGGACTGCCTGCATTATGGCTCAAGGCATGGGCACACAGAGGATTGGGAACCGGGGTAAAATGCAAAAAATTATTGAAATTTATTGCATTTTCTTTAAAAAAAAATATTTATTTATACCCCCTCTCGCGCGAAGCTTTGACGTTTCATTAAATTCAAGGGTGTCGATTTGATTCCGTGGTTGGAGGGGGGGGGGGGGGATGATAGGTGCCAAAATATTTTCGGCATTGGATCAAAGCAACCAAGAGGTAGAAGCGTGTGACAGGTTGCACCCCCTCACCCGCGAAGCGCGGAAGCTTTGACGTTTCATTAAATTATTAGAGAAAGAAGACGATTCGTTGGACCGTTCTCGACTCTTAATCCTTGTTTGAATCAAATTCCCCTTCCTCCGCACACAGCGCGGAAGCTCTGACGTTTCATTAGATTATTAAAGAAAGAAGACGATTCGATGTACCATTCTCGACTCTTAATCCTTGTCTGAATTCAGTTTCCCCACCCTCCTGCGCGAAGCGCGGAATCTTTGACATTTTATTAGATTATTACAGAAAAAAGACCATTCGATGTATTCTCGACTCTTAATCCTTGTTTGAATCAAGTTCCCCTTCCTCCGCGCACAGCACGGAAGCTCTGACGATTCATTAGATTATTAAAGAAAGAAAACGATTCGATGTACCATTCTCGACTCTTAATCCTTAATGTTTGAATCAAGTTCCACTTCCTCCGCGCGTAGCGTAGAAGCTCTGACGTTTCATTAGATTATTAAAGAAAGAAGACGATTCGATGTACCATTCTCGACTCTTAATCATCAATGTTTGAATCAAGTTCCCCTTCCTCCGCTCTGATGTTTCATTAGATTATTAAAGAAAGAAGAAGATTCGATGTACCATTCTCGACTCTTAATCCTTGTCTGAATCAAGTTCCCCTTCCTCCGCGCCCAGCGCGGACGCTTTGACGTTTCATTAGATTATTAGAGAAAGAAGACGATTCGTTGTACCGTTCTTGACTCTAAATCCTTGTATGAATTCAGTTTCCCCGCTCCCGCGCAAAGCGCGCAAGCTGTCTCCTTGTCTCCGATCTCATCACGAATTCGTCACAGAGTTCATCTATGTTTCCACTGTCCAGGATTGTCTGATGTGCATTGCAAATTGCTACTTTTGCGCTTCGCGCTTAACATTTAGCTCGTTGCTTTTTAACGCTGCGTCTTTGCATTTGGCGCACTGCATTTCTATGATACTGTTGATTGAACAAATTGAATAAATTCATCAATTTCTGATGAAGCCGTATGAGCAAAAATTCAATTTATTATTAACTCATATACGGTTGTCTCATTTACTTCGTATGTATTATGAAAATGAGATAGCAAAATGTGTATGTTGATGGTCATCTTGCGAGTTATAACCATTAACTACTCTAATTTTTCTCTTGATTTTTTTTTTTGATGGTGAATTTATGGGGGGGGGGGGGAATGATTGTACAGGCCATCCCCCCCCACCTGAAATATTGGGGGGGGGGGGATATATCCCCCCATTCCCCGGGACTCGACACCCATGATTAAATTATTAGAGAAAGAAGGCGATTCGTTGTACCGTTCTCGACTCTTAATCCTTAATATGAACTCAATTTTCCCCTTCCCGCGAAAAGCGCGGAAGCTTTGACGTTTCATTAAATTATTAGAGAAAGAAAACGATTCGTTGTACCGTTCTCAACTCCTTTTCCCTTTTTCTTCCTACGTCCTCTTTCTTTTTTTTCCTTCTCTTTCTCTCTCTCTCTCTCTTTTTTGTTTTTTGAGGGGGGGGGGGGCGACTGCCCCCATTGCTCCCCCCTCCCCCACCTGGCTACGCGCCTGCTTCCCTCAACTTTTATGTCTCTTCATTTCGTTGAAATATGCATGGAGTTGGTACAAAATACGTTGAGAACTTGCCGAAATTGTAAATTCTATTTATTTTCATTTTCTTGCATCTACGAGTACTAAGCTAGAATAAAAAGTATTTCACGACTTTCCAATGCAATAATATCCGTGCGTGTCGTCTTCGTCTGGCCTAAATGTACATAAGGTATATAGGGCAGAGGTGAATGGCGCGCCCGTCCGGATTATTAAATGCGTAAGCGATCTCGCGCGCTAAACTTTGCTGTTGATCACAAACGTATTGTTGGCATAATGGCGGAGAATGAGAGAGATACTTGACAAGGTCTGTGCAATTTTAGGTAAGTTAAAACCATCTTGTTTTCCTGGTATTTAATTTTGAAGCTCAGTATGAGTACAGATATCCGGGAATTGCACTTGTGAGAAAGTCGACTGGTTATATGCAGAGTTGAAAAATGTTTATTGTCGAGGTCTCGCTTGCCCATTCAACGGCAATGGCATGCAATGAATGATTTCTGCCCCCAAACAACGGTGTTGAATTGCGTGTGTGTTCATGTTATGTCAGCTGTGCTGTGCCTGTACAATGCAATGCCAATGGTAATGTGGTACTGCAAGTGCAATCCTACAATTGTCGGTGTGATAAGGGAATTTGTAAATAGTCTAGTATTAAAAAAAAATTACTTGTTACTGTTCATCTCACCATAATGTGTAAGAGATTGTGAAAGTGTGAATCCTCTATTTCATTGATCCTTTTGAGGAAACATGCATGGGAAATTAAAATAAAATCTTTAATTTTGATAATTTCCTCTTGCAAATGCAAGTTGCAGTTCACTTGCACACAATTAGTTCCTAATGACAATGTCAGGTTGTCACTCACTCTTATTAGTCTACAAAATCTGTTCCAATGCCATGGATTGGCATGCTATAATATAAGTTAGACAGAAATAACTCACCTGTATTCACCTGTCTTTTCGGGCTCCTTAGTAAGACAATGTCTTGTAATGCCCTCCCATAGTTCATCAGTACACCACTGCAAAGAGTTTGTTCCTTAATGTATTGTAAACGTTCCGGTCTTATTTTATTACATGCCACGGACCGTGAGTAAGGTTGACTTTCCTCTACAAATCCATCCACAACTTATTTTGCTGTTACTGACCACTACCAAAACAGATCATCTGGAGTAGGGGTATCTACAAAAATACATTCTTCAGTATCATTGAAGAACTTAAGAATACCCCACCACAAAAATTGACCAAACGTTTGTATGGTACCAAACACTTCACCAATGAGCTAAATCTCAAGACTTGAGCTTTTTAAGTAACACTAAACCGTCTTCGACGTCTATGTACATTAAACCGGTTGGCGGGGTATTCTAAAGTTAAGCCGTTATTTGCTGTAAAGGACTGTTATAAACACTTCCTATATCCTCGAATGGAACTTTCTCCCGACCCATGTTAGAAATGTCTCCACCCTAGGAGCCTTCAAAGATAACTTACAAAAGCTCAAGATGGGCATAATAATTGCTAGAGCCCACTTTAGAAATTAAGTACTCTGCTCAGTCGACTGCGCCTGCATGTTACATCCCAGCTGAGGAGTTTATGCAGTGGCTGCCAAAACTAGAACCAGAATCATTTAGCTACATAACTTCATAAGGTGTGAATGGAATTTCAGTTTATGGGTTATAATATAATAATTTTCCTTTGGTTATAGGTCCGGTGGCATACCATGGACACTAGGCACAAACAGCTCCATGACCGGGCCAATGATTTGTTTTCGCGGCAGCAGTACCAGCAGGCTGCAGAGCTTTTCACCCAAGCTCTGCAGCAGCAGCTAGCCACAGCCACAGCATGGGGGGACAACAGCAGCAACAGCAGCAACAACACCCAGCAACAGACACCACGTCAGCAGCCCCCAACAGCAAGTAGTAGCCCCAGACACAGTAATAATAGCCACGCCCATCAGAACAACCACGCCTCTCCCAGCCCCCATCAACACCATCACCATCGAGACCACCATCTCTCCTGCCTGAATAAACGTGCCACATGCTTCCTCAAGTTGGTAAGTTACTCATGGGTAAAAGAATTCAGTCAAACTTGCCTATGAAGGCCACCCAAGGGAAATGAAATAAGTGGCCACTATATACAGATGGCCCTGATATAGAGGTGGCCACTGAGACAGGTTTGACTGTATTGTAGAGATAAAAGGTGGACTTCTATAAACTGTACCCAAACAATTGCTCTAATAATTTCTTTAAGACCAGAAAGTTTACATGCATGACATTTTATATCACAAGTGGTCAAGATTTACAAAAGTTTCATGATACAAAATGTTTGATCATGTAACAGGCCTGATAAAAACCCGATTTAAATCGGTTTCCCGATTTTTTTTATTTTTCCCGATTTTTTCCCGATTTTTTTTTTCTTCCCGATTTAAAAAAAAAAAAAAAAAATTTTTTTTTTTTTTTTTTTTTTTTACCAGATTTTTTTTTTCTTCTCTTTTTTATCCTGATTTTCCTGATTCCCCCCTTATTTTCTCTATTCTTCCCTATTTTGCCCTATTTTTTTCTCCCAATTTTCTTACTCGAAAGGGAGGAATGTTGTTAGATGCCGTTTTTTCCCCGCGAATCGCCTTTTTTTTTTTTTACTCAAGGGGGGCGTGGTTGAGGGGAAAACAAAAAACCTATTTTTTTTTAGTGCTCACTATCACCCCTGATGTAACCAACATCCAATTTTGCATTTTGTGAAAACTTCTTGCAATACAAAAATCAGAAAGATCTAAGTTGGTATAGCGAATGTCCGCGGTCAGCTCTATGTCCTCGCCTACAAACTCTCTCTGATCGCAACCTAGTTTGAACCAAGTCACGACGTTAATGGTCTGGTCCCAGACGTAAATAATGATATCTGATTAATTCATGTCTGTAAAAACCCAATTATACATATACTATACACACTCAGTCCTCAACAATTTGTAGAAGAATCATCTTATGTTACAGTGGAGTGTTATGATGAATATACATTGTAGCTCCTTAAGGTGATTCATGTTTCATGTAAGCATAAATAAAAGTGGCTTCATTGTAATGTATCTTGAACCCGGCCCCCCCACTCAGGGGTCGGAATGACCGCATGCGTGTTGCCAAAATGTCCGGTAAAGGGGTACTTTTCGTGCGACAAAGTCCGGCCCGAGAATTGTAAAAAAAGGGGTGTATTTGACTTTCACCCGGAGATTTCTTCAAAAAAGGGGTGTTTTTTCTTCTTTTTTCTCATCTCTTTGGACTCCTGAGAAATTATTCCGAATTTAGGGGGGTACATTGAGCATTTTTCCTGATTTAGGGGGGTCTCCAAAGCAGGAAAAGGCCGCAAAAAGCCCGCAAAAGGGGGGTTCGAAAATGTTGGCAGTCCTCAGATAGGGGGTGCTTTAAAAAATAGGGAACGAGCATATGCGTACCCTAAATAACACTGAGTGGGGGGGCCGGGATCTTGAAATGCTTCATAAAAACACACACATCCTGGATTAGATGGTATTCTTTTCTACACCTATGTGTCAAAGGCATGTTGACATAAATATTAGTTGACCTCATCTTTTTAAATTTCAATTGCCAGATAGAAAGGCTATTGAGTGTCTGGATTGTTAAAAATACAGATAATTCTAGTAGTTCTAGATTATTTATGAAGAAAAGCATGTGAAGTTAATCCCTGATGTTGTCTGACGTACTGCATTACTTTTGAATAATTATGATGGTATGAAAAAAATGTTCAGAAGACTTACACAATTTTGGTTAAGTGCAAACAAATGTCAATTTGCCAGACTGACTGAAATCATTTGTACAGGTATTCATTTTCATTTCCCCTGTTAACTGAAAGCTTAACATGCATACATTATACATGTACATACAGAGAGAACAAAGGAAAACATTGAAAAAAATGTATCACAATGGCTCTCATTCAAATTTGTACAAACCATTGGCTGTGAATTGCAGGAAATGCACTTCCTTTTTATACTGTAAACAGTTAATCCTAGTTGAACTCATGATTGGACTATGCTACTATCCCACCCTGAAGACCTTGCTCTTTCAAGGAAAAGCAAATGTGAACAAATGCCTGTTCCTTTGTCTCCTTGTGTACCTCACTCTCTCTGGTGGGGTTGGTGGTTGGTTACACTGTTTGAGTAGTGACCAAAATACTATAAACATGGAAATAAAATACTGGTCATAATAATAATAGGCATTTATAGAGCGCCATCAATCTAGACAATTCTATTCCGAGGCGTACATATTAATTATTACCCCGGCTTTAGCCTAGCTGTAATTACAGCCCTCAAGTATTTCAAGGAATTAATCCCTGCCAGGTCCCCATTTACCTCAACTGGGTCGAGTGTGGCAAATGTAGATTAATGCCTTGCCAAAGGACATCAGTGCCATGTTGGGGATCGAACCACGACCATCGAATTTCAAGTAATACGTCTTACATGTACATGTACATGTATGCCGTGTAAAAAATACTTTTCTTTTAAAGCTCTTTTAGGATTTGGTATGGTAAAAGTGTGATTTTCTCACAGTGATATTGAAGTATTTTATTATTATTCAACCGAGCTTTTTTGCAGTTTGTTTACCAGAACTATTTTTGAGCTTTCCAGTTAAATTGCTCACCGCTCCTGTGTATTGTTTTCACTGGTCTTATGCTACATGTAGAGCAACAGTTGCTTCCACGGTCAATCTCCTACACACACCAAATTACTTCTCTTGAGTTCTTGACCAAGCAGTATAAGACCTGGGGGTGTTTCACAAAGATTCTAAGTTGGACTTAAAAATTATGGAAAGCCATTAGCATCTTTGAAAATATTTTGTAAAAGTTATTTTGAAAGGCATAAAATGTTGATTCAAATCATTCATATTTTCTATCATCAAGCAGATTTCATGTTCTTGATGTGGAATTTATAAAAAAAAGTCTAAAATACTTGAATTTTTGCTTTTGAATATATTTCATTTTAAGGCTCCAATGGCTGTCAATAATTTTTAAGTCCAACTTAGTGTTAAGTTCTACTTAGGATCTTTGTGAAACACCCCCTGATCCTAAACTGAAAACAAAATAGGAACCCAAACCCAATCCTTTCATTAACTTTATAAGCAAATGTCATCGGAACAAATGTTGGCTCACCAATTGATACACAACTGGTGTCAAGATATTCATTGAAATTACAATGTTGGGACTTGGGCATATAGATTTCACACTTAGTATACATGTTAAAAAAGTATTATGCAAAACTAGCGATTGATAGTGTAATAAATGCGTGGACCAGCAAAATGTAAACAAACGTGCTGAAGGCCCTGCACAAAGAGAAGTGCCATTTGGTCACAGGGTCACAGCAAATAGAATTTTACTGGTAATTAGTCACATTGCTTATTATTTTCGAAATTATTTGCCTAATTTGCAACCTTGTGGACAGTTATAAAATGTTTGTGGATTCTGTTGAAATAAAATCAAGTTTGAGCACAAGAACTCAAAAAAATGACTTGATGTTTTTGTATTCTGATATAAAAACTTTTTCTGATAATTAGAGTAGTAATGTTAACCTTGCGAAAGATTCAAGATTCAAGATTCAAGATTTTATTGTCCATAATATAATACAGAAATTTGTTTTCCATTGGTATAACATGTAATACATAAAACATAAGACAAAAACATGGTGTCGTGTGCTGAAAGCCAGAAGGGCGTCAAGACTATATAAGAAAGGTACGGTCCTCTGGCTTTCAGCACAAAACATGACAAGACAGTTATATGACTTATACATAGCAAGAATTTTAAATACAATTCTGAAACACATCATGAATAAATTCAGGTATGAATATAGATATGAATATGAAAGTAGAATAGGAACAGCATCACAATCGAAATACGAGCAGAAAGAGAAAGAAAAAGAGAGCTCAAGCTCGAAGGACTGATAAAAGAGAGAAATATAGGGAGAGTTGGTAAGGGTCCAAAGGGAAAGGGGAGAGATAGAGAAGGAGAGATGGCATAATTTCCAATCAGATTATAATGCATGACAGAAAAATACAACAAAGAATGAATTGTTAGTGCTTTTATATATGGTCATATTAAAACAAAGTTTTTGCAGTTCCATTTCCCCATTTAATAACATGCACATGGTTGTAAGGAACGCAATTTGAACTGATTATTTCTTTCATTACATGAAGGCATACATATAGCTCCATTATATTGTCACTGGCAGGTGTTGCATGTCGATTCCAAAAGATAAACACTTTTGTATTGTCATAATCCCTTTTATCTCACTAAATCAAGGCTGTGTACTTGTAGGAATTCAATCTTTTATGAGGGACAACTCTAAAAACAAGTTTCTGTCTCCATGAAATGATAAAAGACAAGGACTATTAAAAGGTTAAGGTAAACAGTAGATATGATGACGATTCTTTTCCAGGCATACGATGAAAACTATTTTGTTTATAAGCAACAAGGTAGTTTGGGAAGTAGTTAATGGGTAAAGGCATACTTTGTAAGTAGTATATCATATATTTTTTTGTTTCCTCTTTCATCATGTACATGTACTATGAAATATTATTTGAGTGGACTTGTGTTTATATTTGTTTTGTATTTATTTATTTTTTAGAGGAGAGGGGTAGGGAGAAGGGAGGGGAAGGGGAGGGAGGTCGAGTGCATAAAAGCATATTAGCATAATCATATACATGTATGTTTCATCAATTTATTTTCCGTTCCATTGGGACTTCTTACAGGATACTTATTAGAATAGAGAATTTTTAAAATTTTTTAATATAAAAAGGCAATGAATAATGTTCAAATGTTCATGTACAATATGTTAGTACTTTGTGAACTCACCTCATCAATTATGTCCATGTACAAAGAATTGCATGCTATTTTCCTTTACATGTCTGTACATGTATGTACAGATTCAAAGCAGGGGGTGAACTTCATGCACATGTTATTATAAAGCCTACGTCATTTTTAGTTCAGTGTATGTATGTGAATTGTCTAAATGATATCCGATTTCACCTGCTGTTCTCCTGCAGACGACCTTTGACCTCTGCCCTCAAATCTACTGTTTTATTTCTTCACAGGATCAAAATGAAAAAGCCCTGGATGACATCAACAAGTTATTAGCCCTATCCCCGACCAGAAGTAGTCTAGGTAAATTATTAATGCGTAAGACCCAAGCCCTGAGCAAGCTACACAAGACCCAAGAAGCATATGAAACAGCAAAGCAGTGGACATCCGCCGAACCAAAGGTTTGACAGATTGGTTTATTTCTAATTTGTTTTTATTTTATTTCAGTTGTTAATCAGTACCTGTACATGTAGCTTCAATACTTGTTGTATCTGACATACCTTGCAATTCAATATGTAAATAAATGAAGCATATTGTAATGGTATTGTGCAACAAGGGTTTTTACACAAACTTACCTGTCTCATGCCTGTTGGAAAAATTAGGGGTTGGGGGGGGGGGTGGGGGGGGGGGAGAGGCACGAAGTATCACCAACCAATGCATTTTTAGCTTATGTTGTCAAAATTTGCAAATTAGCATGTTGGAAATTACAGGATGCATACTGCATAGATTCCTAAATTTGTTTGAGACTCACTTTTTTTAAATTGGATATTGAGTAAGGAAACCCCAACAGTTATTTATTCTATTTGCAATCAGAGTTACAAATGTTGTGATGATATATTTTGTCATCGATATGATATTGTTTTATTTCTATACAGAATGGCCAAGCATCCAAAGAAGTAAACAGACTTAAGAGATTATTGGATGAAAAGACAGAGGTAAGTCAGGGTTCTCAGCTGTCCTTGGCCTCGTCTTACAAAGAGATAGGAGACTGCAAACTTGCGATTGATTGGTGCACTTGTGATATCCAATCGTAACTCTTTGTAAGACAGGGCTCTGGAAACCAGGGATAACCTGGATAACCTTTAGTGCTCACTATCATTCCTGCTTATATTTTCAGTCGAGGAAAGGTAACTCAATTCAAACTACCCTTCACCTCTTGATAATTGTTTGATACATGCTTTTAAAAGCAGTAATTAAACACTCATTTTGTGAGACTAAAAAAAGTTCCAACTTCAGTCCTTAACTGAACACTATACTAAAATCAAATTTAAAGATAAAATTCTGGTCAAGGGCTTGCATTGTGAAAGAAACGGTGTGGAATCGAATGTCTAGCTATACAATGTTCGCGCGAGAAAAATGTCAAGTTAATTATCTGACAGCTTTATAAACTTCGTTCAAAATATCCTGCAGTTAACATTTAAATTTGTACACTGTACAAGACAACTGTTCTTCGTGTACTCTTTGAAAACTATATACAGTGTATATGCACATAATGCACTATTTAACTGTGTTATATTTTTTGATTAAATTATAAACTTACAGAACCCATCAACAAGTAGAAATACATCAGCAAGAGATAAGAACGGAACGGAAGCCTCATCACACCCCTCGCAGTCAAGTGGAAGGGGCCAAGGAGCCAGTGGTGGTAGTGCAAGCTCAGCCTCATCCACTCATCACCAGAGGGGGAAACGCAAACCAGCATCTGAGGGAAAGCATAAAAAAGATGCTGGCAAACAAGAGAGTGAGTAATATATCGTCTTTGTAAAGAATATAAATTTCTTTGTTAGATAAAGAGGGAATTCGTTAAGCATTCTTCTCAAATGCCCAAGTAAACCGATAGGGTTGAGATGAATGACATTTGAGCATAATGTGCTTCATATTTCTGTATCTTATAAACCATACTTTTTCCTACCATATTTGCCATTTATTTAGACATTTTTTTAAAGGCCAGCTTTGCCACAGGGATGAGCCCTTATGGGGGTAGATTGATACGAGACATTTTACCCATTATCTATGTTGCCACATGTTTATTGAAGAACCTGAGAGCCAATTAAATGAACTACTTTTGAAGACACCTGTATAGAAACTATTGTAAAGGCCATTCATTTACCACATCCTGTTTTTAAATCAGAGTTGCCAACTTTAGAAAATAATAGGGGCCATGATTAACCTGAATGTTATCAACCAGTGCTTGTTCTAATTGACCTAGCACATTATACCCTGGCTAACTTGTAGACGTTTTATAGCTGTGTATATTTAAAGCTGTTATATGCCCTCCCGTCCCCCCCACTCTAACCTATAGCAATCTCAACCTGTATGAATCTTTGAGCCAATACAACTCTGTTGACCTTATGAGTTGCTAGTAATGTATCTACATGAACATAAAGTTTAATTGAGACTCATTATTTCACTGTTCTATTAGGCTTGTACCTTTCAATTTACCTACCACTCACCTTGGCCTGGTAAATAGCCACCTCAGTTATAAGACTTTAAATAATAATTAAACGCTATATTGACCTAAAGCTATATTGACCTTCCCCAATCAGGGACACATTAAGATTGACCTTGCCAATAAGGGTTAATCCAGAAATAGTGAAAATAGCCAGTAACGCTCGTGACATGTGACCTGTTGTTGTAGGTCAGGGTACTTTCTGCTTTCTTGTTAAATACATTTCTGTTTACATGTGTATATCTCCATCCATGCCTCTGTCAATAATTCTATATATAGAATTTATGACAAAATATGGAACATGGAGGAGCCTATTTATCTATGGTTGTCAGACACATGCTCCCATGGCAATTATTCAGCAGTCAATATCGTAGGCTTACCAAACTATTAATTCTCCCCTGGACCAAAAAGTGTGCATCGCTAACCCTGAACTAAAACCCTAAAACACAAGAAGAACCAAATTAAATAACAACAACAGAATAAAAACAAAAAATAGCAACCCCAAGTCTCAACTTGGACTTTTGAATAAAGAAAGCTTGTACATGTACGTCAAAGCAACTTACAAATATTTCTAATTAAATGTTGTTCTTTTTCCTTTTTGCTTGGTGCACAGGCCCTGAGAACTTCTGCTCCTTTTGTCAAGTGCAATGTTCAACTCAGGTGGACTACCATCTCCACAGTATGAGTGAGAGCCATAGAGCTATCATCTCATCGGACGAAGGACGGGATTGGAAGCATCGGCCTCCTCCCAGGGGGGCTGTCGGGGAGGAATACCTCCTCTGTGCAGAGTAAGTGATGATGATGATGATCGTGATGATGATAGTGTTGATGATGTTGATGGTGATGATGTTGATGGTGATGATGATGGTGATGATGATGGTGATGGTGATGATGATGATGATGATGATGATGATGATGTTGATGGTGATGATGGTGATGATAATGATGGTGATGATGTTGGTGGTGATGTTGATGATGATGACGACGAGGGTGATGGTGATGATGATGATAATAATGATGATGACGATTTTTAGATATAGTAATATTTTAAAACTTGGACTGAGAATATTGAAAATGTCTGTGTTGTTTTTATTTCTATCCACAAAAACATCGGCTTTGACAGTATTATCTAGTTAATTTAGTATCCAATTTCTCATGTAGAGACATTCCACAATTGTCCGAACCTACATCAAAGTACATTTGGATTACATCTGAACTAATTTTTTGTCAAATTAAAGTTTGTCAAGAGTACAACATGAATGTCATCATTAAAAAATGATCTCTCTCTCTCTCCATGTTTGCAGCCGTCTAAAATGCAGATTTGGTCAGCAATGTACATACGCCCATAGTGAGGACGAGTTAGCTGAGTGGAAGGAGCGCTACAGGTATAGACAGATGAAATACCAACGAGCGAGAGACAAGCAGATCCATGGCATGGGCTTTGCAGAGCAACTCTTTGAGAAGTGGATGAATTCACCTGCACCTCTCAATGTGGTAAGTAATATTGAGAAATGAAGGCCAGGGGAGCGTTTCACAAAACTTGCCATCAGTGACAAATGACAGTTTTTGTTATAAGCTACTGAAATCCTTGCTTCTGATTGGTTATCAGCAGAGTTGTCTCTGATTTTTGTCATTTGTCATTGAAAAAAGGCTTCGTGAAACGCCCCCCAGGTAAGCTCCAAGACCATCGCCTCTGATTTAGACACGGACTACAAGAACAAGAATCAATCTTTTTTTCTTAATCAATGCTTTTTTTAGTAAAACACTTAGACATTTAAAATCATACTTTATGCTAAGTTTTATTGAAAATGAAATGAAGAACTATCTTTAAAATTGAAAATGAAATAAAGAATTATCTTTGAGATAGTATTGATATACAATGTAATCCTTACAAATTTGTACATACAAACAAAATCATCAGAAGTGATGTTATTTTTTTTAGATTAAATTGTTTTAAAATTTCTTATATATTCTGTTGATTTTTTTTAGGTTCTGCTGTGTAGGGGTTCTATCTGAATAAATAAGTAATTTGAAAAGATAATTATAGGTTTTAGAAATAAGTCTTTCTATGGTACTGGCAGGTTTAATCGTGGATTGTTCACATTGCTTTCTTTTCTCCCTTTCAGTTAAGCGAATCTATTGATGATGTGAAGGTGAGCATCAACTCCGATTCCAATGTCACAGTCTCAAGTAAGAACACTGCGCATTCCTGGATCTTCACTCTTCATTGCAAGGTCAGTGAGAACACACACATTATCATTTTCATTAATTTAACTTGGGTTTACGAACACCTTGGGAAGTACTCCTTTCTGGGGGGTGTTTCACAAAGACTAAGATCGACTTTAAGTTGGACTTAAGTATGTCAGGCCATTCATGCCACTGGTTGCTCTAACCATTGGTCTCTCAATGATGATCTTTAGGTAATTTTCTTTCCTACAATAATTAACTATCAAAAAAAGTAAATTCTGTAGATATGTGACCACGATTGGTACTCTCTTGAGAAGCCAATGCCAGTAAATGATGAGAGAAAATAGTGGCATTAATGGCCTGCCATAGTTAAGTCCAACTTAAAGTCCATCTTAGTCTTTGTGAAACACTCTCCAGTTGTCGAAAAGGACGTATGTCTACATTTATGTTCACACAGTACTATAGTAATCTTAAACTTTTAAGGTTATGGTTGACCTTTGGGGACAGGGAGGCTCAGTTTCTCATTCGTACAAATGATGCAGTGAAGAATTTTTCAATTTTCTGGTCCTTAGAATCACCGCTATTCATGTATTTAAATCAATACATAACAGTGTTATGTGCCAAAATATATTCTTGTGGATAGACAGTGTCTGATAATTTCTAGGTTTTACTTTCCTTTCCCGACAGCAGCCTAGCAAGCAGCTCCAACGTGTGGCTCTGTTCTTTGACGTCCACCGGCCTCACTTTAGCATCACCAGCATCCTGATTGGTGACTCCAAGCGCCAGAACTCTCTGGACATCCCGGAGAACTGCCAGGAGTGGAGCAGCAAGATGAGCTCCCACAACAACAATAATAACATCAACCCGTACAACAGCACCAAGTCCAAGGAGCGCATCTACCGCGTCAAGATCCAGTTCACCTCGCAGATCTTCGGCACGTTCCGTCAGTCGATCATCTTCGACTTCGGCATGGAACCGGTGCTGATGAAGCGCATTTCCGTTGACTCGGTGTCGGCCATGGACCAGAAGGAGCTGGAGGAAGTGCGGGAGTCGATGGTGTGCGTGACGGAGCGCTGGGATGGAACCAACAAAACGGTGGTGGACTTCAGTCCGCCGATCCAGCTGGGGACGGAGGAGGATAAAGGATTGCTGTCATTCTACGTGCCTCCTCACTCGACGGAAGAGCTCTTCAAGCGCTCGGTTTTGGAGAAGACGATCACAAAGAACAACTACAAGAATAGGATGCATGATCTGCTGTACATAGAGGAGACGGCCAGGTTCAGGGACATTGGCAAGTAAGTAAAAAAAAAATATTAAAAAATAATAATAATCTTTTAAAGTCCACTCCTAATTTTATTAAACCGAAACAAAAATTCTTTTTGCCCAATTGATCGTGAGCCCGGCAGCCACTGAGCAGCGCCAGATCGACGTTGCTCTATCCCTTATTGTTGAACGCCAAATAAGGTAGCAGCAACTCGCATCTTTTATGGTCTTTTGGTATGACGCGGCCTGGGTTTGAACCCACGACCTCCCGGTTGTGAGGCGGACGCTCTACTGACTGAGCCAACACTCCGGTATAAAGTGACACAACTAGTGAAAGTTTGTCATGTTGAAACTGGTGGAAAGGAAGATAATGAGCATAGCCCAGACAAGCTGAGAAGCTATACTTGAGTTAAGTATTTGAAGTTTGCATTGTGAAGTATAGTAGCACACTTCTCTCCTGTAATGAGTCATTGTCTGAAATGTTATGAAATATATTCATAAGCAGTCATCTTTTTAATGTAAAGACTTCAAGAAACCGACCCCTACCGAGTAGTTTCCTTATCTTGTAATGCTGGTAACACTGTAGAGGTGTTGTGGTCCTGTGGATAAGTCTCTGGAATGTGAACCACAAGGTACAAATCCCTGCCACAACACTAATGTCCTTTGGCAAGACGTTAATCTACAATTTCCACACTCTATCCAGGTGAAGAATATTAGTATGTGATAGGATTGTTCCTTGAAGTGCACTGTGCGCTGATTGGAGCTATAGCTAAGGTAATAATTTCCACAGCTCTTTGGAAGCGCGTAGGGACATTTAGATCATAATGTGTTGTGTGCTATACAAGAACAGATTATTATTTTTAAAAACTGAATAATGAGATAGTATTTGATCAGGGGAATGACATGGCTACAATGTGGAAACAGCTCTGAACCAGACTACAGAATTATTATTATTATTATTATTATTTATTTGACCAATAGGAAAACATGCAGTGAGTATAACAATCAGATAATACATAGACATTTCATAATACATTCAAACAGCTTTGGGAAAGTGGGGAGGAGATAGAGAGAAGGATACAATCTGCTGTCAGGGGTGACAAAAGCAATTTAAATTGCTATTACTCGAAAGCATGTCACCCCCCACTGTCTGCATCCTGGAAAATTAAGAGTAAAGAACAGAATAAAAATTCACAATATGAGAAAATAAATAAATATATATATATATCAGGATAACAATAGTTGGAGTAGTGCTGTAGTCAAACGTTTAACCGTCCGGTATCCGACCGCCCATGGCGGATTCCGTTTTCAATTGGACGGTTTCGTTTTCCCGATTTTTTTTTTTTAATTTTTTTTTTTAAAGGTAAAGACCAGTAATGGTCATGCGATTGCATTGTGAAAGAAACGTTGTGGAATCGATCAGAAAAGGTTGATCATCTAGCACCTAGCATCTGCAAGGTTCTGGAATCATCAAAATGATAAGAAATTTGGCCCATTCTTCGTAAAGTTACAAGCACTATACACAGAAAGATGTATATGGGACTACCCTATCTCTCTCACACGACCATGAGAGAAATAAATTTACCAAATATATGAATTAGTAGGCGGTTTCCCGGCAAATTTTTTATCATCATGTATTAGTCAAAACATATTCTTTCACATGATTGGTAATGAGAGCTTCCATTTCATTTTTTGAAATTGGGGCGTTACCAATACTGGTCTTTACCTTTAATATTTTTTTTTTTATTTTTTTTTTTATAATTTTTTTTTTTTTTTTTTTTTTTTTTTTAAAAGTTTCGATTTATGCCCCTCCACCTGGCACTATGCCTGGCAATGTCTCCCAGCTCAGTAATCTGTGTGTTGACTCACCACTCTAAAACTAGAACAACACTCCAATTTGTCTGTCATCTTGGTTTGAAAGTAATCTTTGTAATAGATCTCATCATCTCAATATGTAGTTTATAATAATAATTCATCCAACTTTTACACAAGGTTCTGTCCTAGGTCCTCTACTGTTTTTAATTTATATTAATGATCTTACACATTCTTCTAAAAACAACATTGTTACTATTATTTGTGACAAGTTCACAAGCACAAATCGGCCCCTTTAAATGCACCTCGCAGTTAAATGAAAGTTGCCGACAGAGTCGGTAAAAAAAAAAAAAAAAAAAAAAAAAAAAACGATTTTTTTTTTTTTTTTTTTTTTTTTTTTTTTTTTAAAAATCGTTTAACCGAAAACCGTCCGGTTTTGACTGGCGGTTAAACGGAATTGGAGATATCCGTGATGTTACAGCACTAAGTTGGAGCAATTACTATTATATCCTTGATTACTTTCATTACATTATTATGTCATTACAATGGCTTTACGTTCATCACATAAATATAAAAACTTTCAAGTCAATAACCTGGTGCTTACATTAGAAAAATTTGAGCAAAGTTACATGATGGTATAAAATGCTTAACAATAATTTCTAACTTTCAAAATGAAATGAATAAAATTGCAATCTGAAGCCTAATATGTACTGAACGGAACGAAGAAATGAGCTTGCAATATTGATATTATTTCTAAGCGACAAAATAAACAAATTTGTCAGTTATGATCTAAGTAAGATGTATAATTAATCTTAGGGTTTCCAAAAAGGCACAGTAAAATTACATATCAATTGCTTTTAATGAATGCTGTATGACAGTGTAATGCATGTGGACTTCACTTCACCCTCTTCTTTTCTTTATTTTAAGGTTCAACATCAGGACGACCCTCCAGATGGCCAACACCTTCATGCTGGTACCGTCACGGAACAGCGGTGCCCGCTACGCCCAGAGCGGTCAGCTCTTCGCTCTCATGCGCCTCAACGACGACCTCTCTGCCGACACGCCCGGTGGCCGACTGATCCTCAACAGCTGCAACTCGGTGATCCTGGCCCCGGTCCAGGAGGGGAGGACATCTGAGAAGGTCTACGAGGCACCCATCACGGAGAAGAGCAAGGACTCCATCTACCTGACCCTGAGCAAGCAGTGCGTGGACGACCTCAGGTTGAAGAACAACTCACAGATCAAGGTGGAGCTGCAGTTCCAGCTCAATAGGTGAGGAACTGTACAGTGCGTCCCAGAAAAAACGAAACCGAGAATTATCGATGTTTTATCGTAACTTAATCACCTCTATAATTATAAATATACATCATATGGTTTGCATCAAATAAAAGAGGAGGATCTAAGCTTTACAAATATGTGTCATTTATTAATTATAATTGTGATTAAATTCTTGGTTTCGTTTTTTCTGGGACGCACTGTACGAGTGCCTGCAGATGGAATACACCAGGGAATTTCACCCAATTTTATGCTCCTCTATAGTGTGTCTATTTGCTTATTAGGTCTGGGTTGTCGTTTTTTTCTCCACTTTTCTTCAGAAATTTTAGATCTGTTTCCAGAAAACCAAATTTTATAATCTTTACTTAGTTGTAAGAAATCCCCAAATAAAATGGATACAATTTTGTAATCTTAACGAGACACCCACCAGAATATGACTCTTAATTTTGTATTATGGTAAATTCCTCAATTTGGAAATATTGTCGAGTCGGGGGAATGTGTAAAATACTCAGCAAGGGTTTATTTCAGTCTCTGGATCTAAAGGATGATCTGAAAACTTGCTAACTTCAGGGGGCGTTTCACAAAACTTGTCATCAGTGACAAATGACAGTTTTTGTTTTAAGCTACTGAAATCCTTGCTTCTGATTGGTTATCAGCAGATTTGTCACTGATTTTTGTCATTTGTCACTTAAAAAAAAGGCTTTGTGAAATGGGCACCTGTCCAGGAGGATGTGAAAATGCCTGACAAAAACTCAGTTGAAGTCTCATCTTGACTAACCTTTTTAACTCTATGTAAATTTATGTTTTTCTGTGGAATAACTATTTAAAAGAGATAATTTTTTTTTTGTCTTCTTCTTCCACATAGACTTCACATGTGTGAGATGCACTATGCAGTAGACAAGGTCCCAGATATGAGCCTTCTCTTCCCTGAGGTGCATACCAATGCCAAGGTACCATGGACCCCAAACAAGTAAGTTTCTCTCCCTCCTATGATTTAGTAAAAAGGTACTTCTTTAAAACATTTTTTAACATGGTCATGATAGTATCTGAATTGTGAATTAGTTTGTCTAAGAATGCAAGGGAAGCCGTTCTTGAAAGTTTTCAGAAAAATAAGCAATAGTTTCAAGTTTCAAGTTTTATTGTTCCACATTTTACAAAAAATATAGACATTCATATAAAATAAAAAAAAATATACAATATATGTAGTATAAATGAGCATGTTTCAATTCATATAATAGATTAAGTGAAATGTGAGGAACCTATTAAAAAGCAGTGCTTGTATATTATAGTGTAGTAAATAATAAAATCTTATTGTCAGTCAGAACAATGTAGATTGTAACTGAACCATATTGCAAATAAACAGTAAAATCACAGATATCATTATAACTAGAGGGCTAATTTCAAAGGAATTCATCTTAATATCTCCAGCCTTAGAATCTTATTTCAAAAACATTTTGTCCGATTTGCACCCACCCCTTGATATTTTGTTTGACAGACAATGGAGTGACAAGATGGACATGCAGATGAACAGCAAGCAGCGAGAGGCCATTGTTGCCATGACGACTCCTCTCGTCCATCAGCTCCCGCCCATCTTCCTGGTTGGTCCGTACGGCACGGGGAAGACCTACACCTTGGCCCATGCGACCAGACTCATCCTACAGCAGCCTAACACAAAGATATTGATATGCACACACTCCAATAGGTAAGAGGGAGTTCCCCTCTAGCCATACTTGGTCCTGGGGGGGCGTTTTACAAAACTTGTCATCAGTGAAAAATGACAGTTTTTGTTATAAGCTACTGAAATCCTTGCTTCTGATTGGTTATCAGCAGATTTGTCACTAATATTTGTCATTTGTCATTGAAAACAGGCTTTGTGAAATGGCCCCCTGATCTATTTTCCAATACTTGCATTCATGGGCAGGAGTTGTCACCTGCCACATGTAAGGAGTTAAGCCATTGACTACTGAATACCCTCATTTTAGTAAAATGGATACAGGAGCCACATGCAACCATCTGGGGAGTGTTTCACAAAGATTACAAGTCAAACTTAACTCTAAGTTGGACTTAAAAATTATGGAGAGCCATGTGTAGCCTTATAATGAACTATATTCAAAAGCAAAAATTCAAGCATTTTAGACTTTTCATAAATTCCACATCAAGAACATGGATTCTCACATGATAAAAGATAATATGAATGATTTGAATCAACATTTTATGCCTTTTAAAATAACTTTTACAAAATATTGTCAAAGATGCTAACAGCTTTTCATAATTGTTAAGTCCAACTTAGAGATATGTTCAACTTAGGATCTTTGTGAAACACCCCCTGGTGCCATAGTTAATGGGTTAAACGCTTGCTAAGTTAGTAGATTTTCTTGTACTTACATTTATAGAATGAGGTAAATTTCCTTGTGTGCTGGCATGATATTCAGTGACTAGGGGTAACAATGATAACATTATAAAGTGCTCTGAAGTATTCACCTAATTCGTAATTGTAGAATAGTCTTATAAATTTTAGTCCACCGATTCACGTAAAAAGTCAATTTCTGTCCATATACTGACTATAGCTCAGTCGGTAGAGCAGTGGTCCTGTAATCCGGGGACCCGGGTTCCAAACCAATGCAATGCACTTGTGCCCTTTGGTAAGGCTTTAATCCACATTATCAGGTCCCTTGGAGAGGACCTAAAGCCGTCAGTCTTCTGGTTGCTTACTAACAAGCATTTATTGCTTGCTTAGCTGTCAGGTAAAATAACCACCACTGTCACTAACATCCTTGTCTCCACCTCTTCTTCCACCTTCACAGTGCAGCGGACCTGTACATCAGGGACTACTTCCACTCCTTCGTGGAGTCTGGAAACACCGCCGCCAAGCCCCTGAGGATCTACTTCAAGGACCGGTGGGTGCCCACCGTGCACCCCATAGTGCGCCTCTACTGCTGCATGTCGGAGGGCGAGGACCGATTCGTCATGCCCACCAAGGAACAGGTGCTCAAGCACAGGGTGGTGGTAGCCACACTCAGCACCTCAAGGTTAACTCAAACTCTTCTAGAAGGCCTTAAAAAAAAGATGTTGTATTGCCCTTTACGACCGACCCACATTTTTTGAAATCTACGGTCGGCTTCTAAATTTTGAAAATATTTTTTTAACCGTTTAAGAGGAAAAAAAATATTAAAGCATTCAAAACTGAGAAATATCAGCCTTAAGACAGAGATAAAAAATAAACAAATTGTAAAAAAAGAAAGAAAGATTTCCGACCGACCGACCCATGTTTTGGCACCTAAAGGGCAATACAACATCTTTTTTGAAACAAGAAATGTAGTCTTTGTAGACAGGTTCCTTTAGTACAATGAGAAACCATTGTCAAGGGAAACAAGAAATGTGGTTTTTATAGACAGGTGGTCACTAGAGCAGGTTGACTGTATATTAAAGAAATCTCATCAACTCTTACCAAATGATGAGTTGGCTGCATGTTCTTTATACCTCCTTTCATGCACCTCTAATAATAGGAATTATATTATCTTGCTTATCCGACATGGGGTTTTGACTCATTTTCAGCTTGTTCCAGGATATTTCATCCACATTCTACTTCATGAAGTGACTCAAGCCATGGGAGGGGGAAGACAGTTGTGCCCCCAATATCATTTAACCAACAGGCAGTAGAATATGATCACTAATTCCTTCTCATATTGTTCTTATCTATGATCAGGTTTTTGACCCACCTGGAGCTCGAGCCAGGATACTTCACTCACATCTTACTCGATGAAGCAGCCCAGGCCATGGAGTGCGAGACAGTCATGCCCCTAGCCCTGGCCACCAAAGACACCAGGATCGTCCTGGCTGGAGACTACATGCAGGTGGGTACAAAAGTGTTCTCACTATAAATTTGTTCTACACGTGTCACATTGAGTCATTTTTTTTGCCTTTTTCCTAAATTATCAAGATTGGTTTTGTGGTTCTGGCTCTTCCTGGGGGGCGTTTCACAAAACTTGTCATCAGTGACAATGACAGTTTTTGTTACAAGCTACTGAAATCCTTGCTCCTGATTGGTTATCAGCAGATTTGTCACTAATTTTTGTCATTAGTCATTGAAAAAAGGCTTTGTGAAACGCCTCCCCCCCCCTGATTGCATTTTGTTTGAGGACTTTCTCTGAGGTTTAACCAAAAATTATCAGCAGAGACTAAGTAAACAAATCAAATAAACAAGCAGAAACCATGATGAGTGATAATAATTATTATTAATCGTATCAGACATCTGAGCAGGGCAATTTTTAAATGTTATTGCCCTCGAGGTTTAATGGATAAGCCAACAAAATTACAGGCGAAAAAAATATTATTGACCGCTCAATACGATTATACACTAAACCAATGAACAAATATTATTGCCCGATCTGAAAAGTCAATGGGATTGAGTGTGTAATTTGCCGATGTTTTTGCAACTTTTCATGCTAGGAAATCCTGTGCAGTGTTGGCTACAGTGTTTTACATTATTTAAGAGTATAACATAGTAAGAGTTTCTAGTTTCCTCTAGATGTCTGATGTGGTTAATAATAGTAATATTGACTGCCTAATTCAGGGCAATATGACTTGTCATATATCACCCTCACCTTCGGTTCGGGCGATATATGTCGTATTGCCCAGAAGGCAGTCAATGTTACTTAATTATTGCAAAGTCCTTGATTTAGGGGCTTCCTTCTGAAACATGAGTCATGACTTTCCTCTTTGAAACTAATAACATCAACATGTCCACTTGCTTGTGTATGTCACAGATAAGCCCTCAAGTGCACAGTGAATTTGTCTTTGATCGTCATCTCCACATTTCACTGTTGGAGCGTCTCTACGACCACTACCCTGACGATCATCCATGCAAGATCCTTCTCTGCGCAAACTACCGCTCCCACGAAGCCATCGTCGACTACACCTCGGATCTGTTCTACGATGGCAAGCTCCTGGCGTGTGGCAAGCAGCCCCCACATCCCAAGTGGTACCCGCTGACGTTCTTCACAGCCAGGGGAGAGGACGTCCAGGAGAAGAACAGTATCTCCTTCTTCAACAATTCAGAGGTTTGTGAAGAATGTCTATAAGATGTATTACATTGTTTGTTTGTTTGTTGGTATAAAAAAGACAAAAACAATAACAAATAGAATTATGAATTACAAGATAAAATAAACGGCTGGATAGCCGATATTCAGCGGTATCGTTATGATGCTGCTGGTCTTCCATGGGGACCAGAATGGTGTACATGATTTACATGTACATAGGCTTCTTGGCAGGAATTCTTTTACCCTTTGCTTCAAGTCATGTGAGATCGAACCTTGTCGCACCCATGAGGGTTTGTTTAGGAGGACCTAATTAATCTTGCAGGTTGAGAGTATGTGATAACAAATTTATTACCTTTGTATGTACCCTCATTGGGGAGAATTAGCCCTTGGTAAATAATCATTATTTTTTCACACATGGTATAAGCACCATTCGTGTCATTCACTGGCAAGGACCTTGGCCTGTGTGTACACCAATCTTAAACTTGGTGTGAAATATTAGATGCATGAAATGTGGTTTCTCCGATCTCGTGCCTTTAAAATCCTATTTAGGGGAACATTTCACGGAACATTTCACTGTGGTGTCTGTGGTAAACAGTTCTGTTGGTGATGATTTTAATTTTCTTGTCCTTTCGTAGGTGTTTGAACTGTGTGACCGGGTGCAAGAGCTTCAGAAGATGTGGCCAGAGGAATGGGGGACATGTGATGAGAACAGCATCGGTGTGGTCGCTCACTACTCAGACCAGGTGTTTCGTATCAGACATGAGCTTCGCAAGAGGAAACTCTTCAGTGTGTCGGTCGAGAGGGTCATGAATGTCCAAGGTATGTGGCTTATGTCGGAACGATGTACTCTCAGAACAACTATTTAAATTTTAAAAAGTTAAATAGATGTCTCTTAAAAGAAGTACCCATTTGACATTGACTTTGTCTATGAAAATCAAATGATAAGTTGTATGAAGCAAGTATTTATTAACCTTCTGTAGAATCCTTTAATATTTGGACTTTGCTCTGTATGCTTTGGTTATTCACGAGTCCAAATTTTACATTTTTAAGTTTGATTCATTTGCACAAAACATGGTCGTCTTCCTAGGTCGGTTCGTGGATATATAGACAGGTTACTCATTGCTTCCATGCTGTTTCATTCATTGTATGTTTTCCAGGAATATGTGAAATCGCGCATGACAAAAGACACAATCCTTCATACGGAAACTAATCATTCATATTTTTTTACAATATTTTTCATGCCGTTCACTAGTAGCATTTTCCCATCCTCCCCCCCCCCCCAGGCAAGCAGTTCCGAGCGCTCTTCATCAGCACAGTGCGAACACACCACACCTGCAAGCACATGGTCAAAGCCCAGCCTTCCAAGAAGTCTGGCTCAGCATCCAAAGACTCTCCTCAGTCGTCCAGTGAGGAAGAACCCGACTATGGCTTCCTATCCAATGACAAGCTCTTGAACACTGCCATCACAAGGGCACAGTCCCTCGTGGCTGTCATCGGTGACCCCATATCGGTTTGCTCAATCGGGAAGTGCAGGTGAGTCGTATATTAAACAAAGGTCACATTTTCCACTGCAAAAATTTATGTTTACCAATTGCAGATTTTATAAAGGGCCACAGAAGTTTTGGTTTATATGAATGATAGTGCTCTTATAATAAAATATTGCCATCAATGGCATGTATAAGTGTTCAGATTACAATTCACAATTTTCTGATCTATATTGGATTAGAAAACCAAATTGAATGGAAGTTTTGTGGAGGGTTTATAGAAATAGAAACCTATGATTATGAATGAAAAAAATGGTTTGATTGTGAAGGTGTTCAATCTTTAATGATTTTTCTATCTTTGCATTACAGGAAACTATGGGAGAAATTCATCTCCATGTGCAACGACAACGACAGCCTCCATGGATGTACATTCTCCTCCATCCAGGACCAGCTATCCAACGTGGAGATGAAGAAGACCTATGTCCTGAACCCTTTGGCAAAGGAGTTCATCCCTCGAGCTTTGCGCAACCAGATGATGGGGGCGCCCTTCATCCAAGGTTCGCCACCCCGCGGCATAGCGACCATCAACAACAACCTCCATCGGTCGGTTCTATCTCCGAGTCACACGCCAACCCCTCCCATTCCTGGTAACCAGTCCTTGCCTTTCTTTGGAGGTGTTGGTGCCATGCCTGGTGGAAGCATGGTGAGGCCAGCGAGTCCTGTGCCTTTCATTGATCCCTACACTGGAAGGCGTGTCGTCTACGTGCCCATGATGCATATGCCAGTACCTGTCAGGATGGTCCAGAATCCATATTATCATCATCAGTTCCCTCACTACTCCTACATGGACCCTGCTGTGCCTTACCACCCTCATCAGTTCATGCACCAAGGGGGCTTTATGATCCCCCCTGGTATGAAGCAGCATCCGCAAGGGCCACCAGGTTCGCCTGCTCACCAGCCTGCTCAAGACAAGCATCAGGGACCTGGAGCCAAGGAGGCACCGACATCATCGGCTTTGAGGCATCCTGGTGGAGCTGCCCACAGGATTCCCTCGGGTTCCCCAGCTAGAGACCCAAGGCTGATGAGCTTGCCCCTTGGGCAGTATGACACGGATAGTCGACGTGGAAGCCACCCTGAGAGACAGGAAGTAGTCGCCAAGATTGAGGAGATGCAAATCAATGAGGAATTCCAATATTTGTTGCGCACAAGAGGACAAAACTATGCAGACAACTTCCTGGCGAATGCCAAGAGGTCGCAGTCACCCAAGATAGGTCCTGGGAGACAGACGAGTGACACTGCACCTCAGACGAAGATATCTCAACAGCAGCATCAGGGGCAACGAAGCCAATCTATGTACACAGACAAGACAGATGCTCTGGGAGCCAGTGGACAACAGCTTCCGTTTAGCAATAGTGTCAACCACTGGAAGACATCATCAGAGAGTAACCAACCTGACAGAGACCCCTGGCCCACAAGGTCGAAATCTCACAATCCAAGGGATACCCTAGACTCTAAAGGGAATCAGCCTAGGATTCGTGATCCTGCTATCATCGACCAGGGACCAGCCTTCAATATGCATAAAATGCCATACAGTCCCTTGGAGCCTGCACCACCCAATGTGTTTGTTGACTCCCACATGCCTCCTTGGCGCGACCATGAGGCCAAACACCAGAGGGAATTCTCAGTGCAGCCTAGTGACCTGAGCCCGCGCACTCCAGCAAACTTCCTGGATAACAGTCCTGGCATGAGCCCCCTGGAATTAGCAATCCAATTAGGAGATGCGAAAGGCAGTTTCCTGGGTAAGTCGCAAAGCAACAGCTTCACATTCAATGGAAGAAGTCCATTGACTTCTCCTAGAGATGATCCTAATCACCTTGCGCCACCCAGCTCAAGGAAAGGCTTTGGACATCAGGCGATGCTTGGCCAAGAACATACCTTCAGACCAGTCAGCAAGGATGACAGATCATCAAGCCCTCATGGCGCCCATCCTTCAGTTGGGCACCAAAGATGGCCACAGTCCTCTATGAGCAACAACTTCTCAAGCACGCTCTCTCCGCAACATCATCAGCAAGAGTTCAACAGCTATCCACAGTCACAAGGTCTCCAGAACTTCAGCCCTACGACACCCAGCCTGTCTAGTCAGGAGAGCCTTCCAAGCCCTTCATCGCCTTATGGACAAGGCAGTACCAGTAACCTCCTGGGCCTGTCCACAAGCCCAACCAACTTCAAGGATGACGGTAAGCCATCGATGTCCTATGCCAGCGCCCTTAGAGCACCCCCTAAGCCTAAGGTTCGAGCTAAAGACGAGCGAATGAAGACTGCTTCCCCTGATCCCTTGTCCCTGATCAAAGACCTTGGTAACAGGCATACCAAAGATGGCTTCTACTCCATCTTCTGAGCCTGTACTGTGACATGAATGGCATGTTTAATTATGACAACATGTTCTCTTAATATTTGCATTTACTCTTATTATCGGTGGTTCGTCGTAAGGCCTAAGAAAGAAATAAATTGGAAGAAATTGGCACTGTAGATAAATAATCCTTTCTTAAAACAATGCAGTACTTTACTGATGGCTATTGTATTTCCCATTTAGCTGGAAGACATTCTCAAATTTCAGTATGTTGGGGATATGAATTGATACATTTCTTATGACCAAAACATAATTAATCTAATGTGTCGACAATCACTGAAGCACTCAGAATATGACTTAGATTTGATCAACAAAATTTGATCCAAAAAATTCAATGTATTTGATGAATTTGTTATCCCATACATACTTCTTTTAAGTGATTTTAAATTCTAGATTCTATGCCATTCAAGTCACAGTGCCCTCTTTGTATCAACCAACAGTTAGCTTTTAGTTCTTGACATTGACTGCATGGCATTCCATACTCCGGGGATTCCCCAAAGTTATATGCTGGTACACGTTCTTCTCCATGCATAATGAGTACATTCTAGTGTACATACATTTCTACTGCGCATAGCTATGAAAGCAAACAAAAAAATCTAGCATTCCAGTTTTTCACTGTGATCGTAGTATTGAAGTTCCATCGCCCAAGGGCATTGTGTGTTTACATTTCCTCCCTTTAAAAAGAATGAAAATCATGCATGATTAAATATTTTCGTGTTTTAATATTGCTGCTGTAAAAGTGATACAAATTGGCATTCTATGATGAAGAAAACTGGGGATAAAGTTTGAATTTACAAGGATATGTCAAACTTTGTGAAGCGTTTAACAATCAAACTCTATACGATGTGGCTAGGTTTCAGTGTCTGTTTATTCACAGAGATGAGAGACATAGGTCTGCTAGGGTGAATATAAAGATCTTGTCAAACATGCTGACTGTTTGAATGAAGCATGTAGGACAAGACTTTATAATAGCTGACCTGCTCTCCATAAAAAGAACCTGTATATGATAAAGCAGGAAGTTGAACGCTGCATGAAAATATGTGTCAAAGGTTTTGTTTTCCTATTTAACACACTATCAGATATTTAACTGTCATTTTGTTTGTGGCATTAGGAATCAGGTATCGGTCTTTGCTTTCCTTTACAAACAAAAATCCACATATTCCACTATGCGTATGCAACAAAATTAATTGCCTGCTGTGCTGTTGAATGGGGTTATCAACTAAAGAAATTGATTTTGATAGGGCTGGGGTATTCTTATGTGTAACACAGTGTCGTATCGTCTTGGTGAATTGACCGATTGTTGTGAAAATTAAAAATGCTACATAGCTCCTTTTGCCACACAAGAATGCAGTGTTCAGTTATTCACAGTTGTGGCTTATATCTGTCTTGGATTGTTGGTCATTTGTACATGAAATGAATTTGATAGTTTGATTTACCGCAGAGTTTTGTTTGGTTTGATATCTCGCTTGCAAAAAATCAGTTAACATTTGCTTGGCCAAAATTTGAATACTTGTTTCTTCTATACATTTGATATTGAGTAAATCCCTAGAAAAAAAAAAAAAAAAAAAAAAAAAACTATTAAAAAAAAAGAAAAATGAATGAAAAAATACAAAAACATTAGTTTAGTATGTTTGTAGAAAGACTGTATTATGTAGTGATTCAGTAAACAGGATATGTTATGGTGTATACAATTCTAGAATTATCATCTTTGTACAGGCATTGTTTACAGTAATCTTACTCTAGAATGTATGTTTAGCTTCCAGGAAATCGTGTGAATAGCATGACATCTTTTACAATAATATGATGTAGTTCAGTTGTTTGAACCGAGAGTTGTAAATTTGCTGTTTGCATACATTTTTGTGGATAAGTTAGCGAGACATTCATTGCACTTTGACTGGTATAGCTCATCTATATTTGTGTGAATTGTCTAATTGGAATGTATGCTTGTAGATATAACACAAAATTGTACTTTCCTATCATATCTAAGATCTATCTTGTGTAAATTGTACATAGACCTTTGGCATAAGAACGAAGCAACTATTTTGACAACAGAAGCACAATATTAGAATGGCAGATGAATTTTTTTTGGTAAAGGATAAAGTTTGACCAAAAGTGTTACACTCTGTTGTAAAGTCACATTCCTGTTTGAAAAATTAGTTATGCACTTTGCAGTGAATTTCATAGTGACAGTGTGATTTTGCCCTAGCTTGAATTGGGGGTCTGTCGTAGGATTGTTGTCGCTATACTGTAAGAAACATGAGCAATATATTGTAAGGTCAATTAAAGAAAAAATAATCAGTTTAAAAAATAAATAATATGTAATTTTTCTCAGGGTACTCTCTATATTGACTGTGAGGTAAGGTCCCGTGAATGCCATGTGAGAAGTGTAAATAGTTATACAGAATGTTGTATGAAAAGAACATGGCAGGTCAATTCTTGTATTTATTTTGGGTTTTCTGATCCTTGGATGTCGGCCATAGAAAGTAATGAAATCCGGAATGTAACTGATCTTTTGTGAAGAAATTTTGGTCTGACCTGAACAGTATGCATTTTGAATTTTGTAATCTTTGAACTCCTGTTTGTATATTTCACTATGAGCGTAGTTTGATAGACTGAGCTCGTGAGTGAAGTGACCAGATGGTCTTTCTCGAGTTCAACTTGGGATAAAACCAGATTTATAGCTGTCAGATCCTCATAGCATCTCGCTGAAACTGAACTGTAAATAAGGCATTGTAATTTTCTACTCGTCTGCGCTATTCCATGCACAGGAAGAAAAAAAATGTACAGAGAAATTCATAGGACATTTTTCGAGCAGGGGCTTCTTTCTTACGAGGCGCTGGTAACATTTGATTTACGCACAGTGTACATATATCAACACAGCTGTAAATAACCTTTTTCCCTTTTGTGGTAGATTTATCTCCGAATTTTCTGTAAATAGTTTCACATAACCTGTCAAGCTGTATAGCAATACAGAGCATCTGTTTTTCTTTAAGAAATCAAGGATACTTTCCTCCTTTACATGAAAAGAAAACATTCGCATTAGGCATAAGTTTTGTGTTACATATTTGTATATAAACATTTTTTGGGGAGATTTTCTTTATCTTTGTTTAGTTACGTTTGTATATCCCTCTTTTCGTTGTTGCAAGAGATGTAAAAAAGTAGTATGATGCTAATTTTTACTGTGTCTTGGTAACCACAATCATTTAAATTTTGTACATATATACATGAATATATATATATATATTTCCCATGATGGCACAATATAGAATCATCAACTTATTTCTTCTTTTTCCTTTTATTCTCTTCAAGATTACTTTAAAGGTAGTTAGAATGAATAGAAGATAGACAACATATTTCCTGTACAGCTTTAACACGTTATATATTAATTTGATGTTGTGTATAGACCGAAATATCACTTTGGATATTTCCATATTAATGGTTTGAATATATACGTTTCTTGGTTATTTTTGTGTTGATTGTGAGAGAAGGAAATGTAATATTTTTCAATCGTGATGACTGGATCTCGCGATGGATTTTGTACATATGCACAGAGGTATTTAGTGTTGATTTGTAGGTCATCATAGCTAGCTAGTCGATTGTATAGTGTGCATAGAATTTGGAAATTCCTAGGTATTTGAAACATATTGATGTATCATTTAGTGTGAAATTATTTTATCTTACAGCATGTAAAATGTGCTCTATTTTTTTTCTTCTGCCGATAAAGTTATGGTTATGGAAGTTGTGGAGCTTGGGTTTACATTATCAGTCTCAAAGTATATGTAGTTAGATAATTTAACTTTTAGAAGCTGTTTTTGGAGAATTCCATTCTAATATATCCTTTGTTGTTGGTTTTGCTGTGCTAGATAAGTGATAGGAGGTCTTTGGTTGTAAATGAGTTGAACGCTACGCTTATTGGTGCAAATTCAATTGGTAGACTGTGAGTATTGTTGAACTCAATTCGTTTGTATGGAGCCAGGAAGGCATTAACTCATACACTTTAATACTTTGATACAGACTTAACATTATTCTTGCTCCAAACATATGTTTTACACCACGTTCTAAAGTGTGGTGTCTGAATTATATACCATTAGGTTGTATCTTTTGGCTGTTTAACACCATAGTGCTAAGTTTTAATGGTCCTATGCGATATAAGACCATAGTGTGAAACTCCCTATTGCTGAGTGTTTATTTCCTATGCGATATAAGACCATAGTGTGAAACACCCTATTGCTGAGTGTTTATTTCCTATGCGATATAAGACCATAGTGTGAAACACCCTATTGCTAAGTATTTATTGTCCTATGCGATAAAAGACCTCACTTTGAAACATAGTGCTGAGTGTTTCACAATGTACTCGATGTATTACATGTATAAGACTTTAATGGGTAATACAGTGCTGAATACTGTACAACTGTACAACAAATGTATCCACACTGTGTATGGTGTTAAAGAACCTTTATGTGTCACACTTTAGTGCTGTTTCAACAGTGTACTAAGTGTTATAGTGAGAAGAATTACATATTTTTGATTGCTTCTTCAAACAGAAAGCACAAATGTACAGAATATACTAATGATTATCAGTTTAATCGGCAAACCTCTATGCGTATGACAAATGCTGTGAGTAACATCGCTCCATTGTCTACTTTAAACACTAATTGAATTGCTTGCTTCAAATCTAAGCCCGACACAATTCTAACTAGAATCGGTAAAACCATACTGAAACATTTTGAAGAGCTTGGTACCACAACTACCTGTATGTGGCTTTTATCAATGAAGAAAAATTGTGGAGGGTATCATTCAAACATTTAAAAGGAACAAACTCTTACAGAAAGACTTGTTGATACTGTTGTTGGTTAAGTGCAAACCTGAAAAGAACTGAACCGTTTTTAAAATCAATTATTCAACGTATTTGTCATTTCTAATGTCACTTATACGGTGGCCCAAATCATGTTTTGTTTAAGTGCTCTGGAACATTTGTTTACAACTATTTGTTGAATATTACAAAAGAAACTAAGGGAAGAAAAGAATTACAAATTGCCAGATGTTTAAACCTTCAAAGATGAGAAAGGTTTTTTGTACATGTATTTATTTTGAGTTGGAATAAATGTTTTCATCTTCAAAAAGTCATATTTTTGGTACATATACCTTTCACCAACCTTGCTAAATATGTAATTATCAGTCTCTGTTATAGGATTCCCCTTTTACCTG